AATTTCGTTACTTAATCATTACTCCATCCCGAAATATTAAACGAAAAGACGCCAACATAAACACTCACTCCAAGGAATATTTTTCTTCTTTTTTGCGTTCGGAAGGCCTCAAAATGTGGAGATTTACAAAAGGCCTGGAGGGTCAAATTTGACAGGATCCCATATTTTTCCGTGTTATTTACTATACAATACTGTACATAATAAGCCGGAAAAGTAAAAGCATAAAAGGATTGGCTCATCATTCATCGTTTCGGGTAAATGCTCACCATAAACAAATTCTAAAATCGAAAACGGCGTTTAGTTTTTTTGCCTGAATTTCCATTTAAATAAGCGTATAAGATTGATTCCAGGTACCAACTAAATATAGTACGTGGTTACGGTTAAATAAACTGTTTGGAAAAGACATGGCGGTAGCTATTTGTAAGTCCACTCTCTCGTTGTAGGCTCTCTAGGTCCACAGCCTAGTAGCGGTAATGCAGACCCGTTCTGCTTATTTTGAATGCTGCTTGATATAAGTGACAACAACGGATACAAATACGCACAACGCAACAACAGATACTCGTACCACGACATCCGCCATTTTTAAAACGTACGTAACACGCCCCATCTAGTTTTTTTCACTTTCGCTTTATTAGAAGGATGTAAGAAGCAATCGTGATTAACCAGGTACCCACTGATATGCCCTTGTCAAGAGTTTCGAGAATCGGTTTCGAGGACCCACCGGAAGTGTCCGCCGGTCCTTACGAATAAGGCAATGCAACTCGTGGACGATATGTCGAGGAAGGATGTCTCCCGGGAGAACTTTCCATGGGAAACTAGCCCATATTTAAATATTAAACACGTGAAGAAAATCCCATAAGTATGTGGCCAGCTATTGATAAGGTGTGAACCCCTGACCAACTACCATTGTTTGGTGGTTTGATATAATCGGCCACTAGCGGGTTATAAGAACTCGAATTTTTCCATTTATAATTACTAATACGGAGAATAGGATTATTATGTAGAAAATACGAAAAAACGCACTTATTTTGTATAAATAAAACCCTTTTATCAGGTTTATTCTACGTATACCATGTTTGGTATATATAAAAAGGAGCTTTTCTACACGCAAAGGGAGGAGTCTTTTCCTAACGTACAGTATTTTACAGTATTATTGAAAATAGAAAGATACAAAGCGAGCGGGATACTAGAAGAATAAATCGCGCCTCACAGCGGGCTAACTGCGTGGGGTTGCTGACATTTTTAAACAGGAGTCAGTTTCTCACAGAAAGGCCTCCGGGAGGCCCGCGCCTTATCACATCAATTTAATCCAACTTATTTACTAAGAAAAATTAATTTTTAATAAACAAATATTTTGTGAGATAAATTAATAATAATTGATAATAGCTAGAAGTAAAATTATTTCGCATTATTCTTCTATTTATAGTATTTAAACTGAATTATGTATATCTGTCTTTATTGTAACCTTATATTTACTAGTAGTACTTTAAACTATTATTTTCGGAAAATATGAATTCTAAGAATTGTAATTTAATTAAATTTTCTTTAAAAGTATAAAATTATAATTTTTAACACATTAAACGAATGAAATAAACTTTAAAAAATAATTATAAGGTACTGTACAACTTATCGCTACAACGAATACAAAATGGCGCCCGTTGTCAATTCAATTTCTTTAATTATTTTTAAAGATTATAAAATAAAATTTATTTAGAACGAAAAGTGAAAGATGTTTTAAATTCTATTTTGTACCATTTTGTCTTGTTTTATCACACGAGAAATTGGTTACGAGTCGGAGGTACGTCGAAAACACATTAGAGGGGTCACATTTTTGGAAAAAAATTATATCAAAGATATGTAACTTCTTAAAGATCGCGTTACAATCGTTTAAAAATAATTATACAACAAAACATATACTGGTAAACACGGAAGAAATTAAGCAGTAACGTGTCTAAATCCCAGTAGTTTCTCATCTTTCATCCCTAACGAGAGAGTGATAACAAGATTGAAACTCTGTCACTTTGGAATTCAACTTTTTAAAACTCGAATGACGCTTTAATGGAAAAGAAAGTAAAATTAAATATTACACTAGAAAGATCATCTAACGATTTTTAAATTTTTGTATTTAAGGAGCTAAAATTCTCCCAGTAACTTTCGCCAGCCCCTCGACTTTGCAAAATTCATTCGTAAGAGGTTAGTTTATTGGTAAATCCGTGGGAAGTAAATTAATCCGAATGTCAAGACCCAGAGGAAATCGTGTACTTTGAAACGGTAAACAGAATTTTGAATAGCTGCGCTGGAAATTTTAATGATAGTTGATATCTAAATCGGAGATTTGCATTTTGAACCGAATCCAACTTAATTTGTGGATCAGAGAGCCAAAGTTTCATATATTTATTAAATTATGATTCAACTAACAAATTCAAATGGTTTAAACTCCGTCATTGGAGCACGATCGTTAAAAATTCTACATCCCTAGCACATTTCCTTTTACATGTTAGATCACAGTAATCCAAAAGGAAAATTGCTGTAGGTGGTGCGAGGTCGTGTCTGTATTTTTAACGGGCAGACTATTCATTCATATAAAATTTAAGCAAAACACGAGTAATATCTCGCAGTTATTAAATTCAACAATGAATTCAATAATGATGCGATAAGTATCATTTGTTTCGTCACTTCGATAAGTGACGAAACAAATGATAGCATTGTGACATTTATCAATGATTCGTCACCCAAGTTGTTTCGTTATTCTTGAATTATCAAAAATAATCCTGTTACGAGTAAGCGTCTTTTGCTTCGGAGAAATTAATGTCCGATGATCTTAATCATGGATCCAATCAGAGAAGGATTTAGATTCGCGGCCTTACGCTACAACCTACAAGAGGATCTTTCTCCTTGGCTAAATATTAAATGGCAATACATATAAACTGTCCGAGAATAGAACCAGGGTCTATATAGCTTATTTGGCTTTTCGTACGTAAATCCTGTTCGGGATCAAATTCTGAACAGATCGTTTCGTACGAATGAGAAATGTCAAAATTCTGGATCCGATTCAGTCTGCCACCCAACATAATTCGTGATTTAATTTGTCTTTTGTTATAAAGTATTCAAAAAGTACCATCATTGCTGCGCGAGAGCTGCTTTAAACTAAGAAAATTGCCCGTACGGCTAAGAACTAAATGGGCTATTTCTATAGTTTACTCACAAACACCTTATTCATCCAACACTCATCTAGCGACACTTCCACAGATTATCGTATCTTCTGATAACGAGCGTTACTTTCTCTGATTATCAGTTCATCGCGATAATCCGATGAATCGTATCAAAGACAAACGGACTGCAAAGCGTCGAAGAATGCAAAACAAATCTTATTGCTTGGTGATTCAAACAACAAACAGCATCGTTATCGAGTCTTTCACATTTCTTTCCGGAAAAGGCCACGTTACCTTACTAGAGTATCTTCCCCACGAATAGCATTGGAGTGTCCCGGACAATTTATTTAGATTCTAATTACGTTTTGACTCGAATTATTGATTTATATTATTATTATTCTGACAAAGTATCCAAAGAAACTTGCAAAATATCGACGAATTAGGTTTATTCGTCCGATTTATGCAAGTTTCGTTTCGTAAATCGATTTTGAAATTCATTACGTCGCGATTAGAAAACAGAAATGCTAATTATGTCGATTAATGAGCTTTGCCTCGTGTAAATCGATCGACACAATTACCTTGCTCTAATTAAAACGTGTTTACTTATCGCGCCGTTCCAGTGAAAACAACTCGGTGGTATCATTTGAGTTTTATTTGTTCTTTAGTTATACCAGAACAGAAACTTATTCGTCTTATCTAATTAAACGTATACAAATTGCGCTGTTATATTCGAAAATGCATGAATTACGATTAAGCCGTGTTCGCTAGTCACGCGTGGATACCGCACGTGTACAAGAACCCTCGAGTTGTGTGACGCGTAATTAAAACACACGCCAGTCATATTGTACGTAAACGATCCGTTATTATAATTTACAGTTAAATCGTGTTTACTAGTTTTGTAACCGAGTACGTGATATGAAATTAAAACGTAGCCTACACCGGCAACGGCGCGTGTACGAAAACCCCATTTTATAATTTAGTTAAACCATGGTTACTAGCGGCAATACGTGTACACTACAGCAGTCGTGTGATACGCAAAATGCTTCGTTATTTGTGAACTCGGTGGAGTAATTTGTAATTAAATGTTTACCGTTGTGTACGAAAAGAATACATTAATGTACTGTACGTAAGGCACACGAAACGTATATAATTCGTAACGTTACTGTAATTACTCCGTTGTTATCTAACTCCAGATAAACGTCTGGTATCTATTCTTGGCATGTGTTGCTAAACAAAAAATAAGTTAGAGTGGTGTTTTTTTTTTTTATCTGTCTGTCCGCATTTTTCTTTATCGGTTTTTACAAGAAAATAACAGATGAACAAATTTTAACAGATGGTTGATTTGTTGAGTAAGTGTCCTACGGGTCATAATACATTCACAAATAAAACATTTAAAATAGAACACATTTTATTTTTATTTAAATATATATGTAGTGTACTTGTATATATATATAATTATGTATTTTTCAATTTTATGGTTGATTTTTTTACATACAAAGTCTGGCATGCTGTACAACAAAATTGAGCAAAGATAAATATGTTTTGGCAATACAAATTTGGTAGAAAAAACAAAATAAATTTTACTACAGATCTAACTCATAATACTATAAATATACTTTTAAATGTTGGAATATATAAATTATTTATTAAAATTGGTCTAATTAAGGCAGCGGGAGATGTATTTTTTAAATATTGCCCTAGAACACAAAACAAACTATCCGCAACACAACTATCCAAATAAACCTCTTATCTATTTTAAAATAAAAGATCTGTTTATAATAATTCATAGATATTGTTTCTTAAACTCTTATGCTGTAATTCTTAAAAAAAATATATATTTATATATNTATTGTTTCTTAAACTCTTATGCTGTAATTCTTTAAAAAAATATATATTTATATATATACTATATTTAATTTATTAATAAATCTGTTTTGAGGTCTTAAAACAAAGCATTATAAGCTTAATGAATGAGGCAAAAATAGTAGTAATCTGACAGACTTGAAAGGATGATTATAATACATATGAAAATGAAAAGAATTCAAAAAAATAAAACTGAATTTTGGCTTCAATAATGTGAAATTACTAAAAAGTATAATAAATTATAATGAATCTCTTGAAGCGAAAGAAAAACCTTTTTTGGATGGTGGGATAAGGTGATCTGGTAATTCCATAGGCAAATCGTGACCCTGAAGTTTTACGTTGATTAGGTGCATGGCCAAGGCGAATTCGTCGGAATCTAACATGCCGTCTTTGTCGATGTCCGACAATTTCCAGATTTTCCCCAGCACGGAATTCGGCAGTTTCGACTTGACCATTTCCGACTTGGCGCTGGCGCCCGACACCTTTCCGTCGACCGGGCCCAGCGTCTGGAAAATTTCGTCCCACTTGTAACGTTCTTTACCGACTATCCACTCCGTCTCCAGGGAACCGGCGTCGGCTCCCTCTCCCCGTCCGTAACCGAAGGGATTCTCTTCCAGGCCGTCGAAGGCGCCGCCCTTGACGAGAACCGCTTCCTTCAATTCGTTCTGTTCGTGCGGTATCATTGCCATGATCCTCGAGATGTCTTCGGCCAACATGCGATCCACCGTTTCTAATAACTTCGGTTTCAGAGGATGGAACTTTTGAAAGTCTTGATGTAGTAACTTCTGTTGCATCTCTCTGATGTCGGGAAAATCTCCCCTCGAAAACTGATGCTCTCTCTGAATTTCCGAATATATGTCGTTCAAGTTTCTGATAAGATCCTTCTTCTTGCTATCTTTACCAAACACAGAAGGCATTTCTTTCTTCAATGCACTGATAATATAGGCATGTACCTAGAATGATAAACACATACATAAGCAATACTTGAAATTCATGTTAAATATCATTCTAGCATTCATTTTTTTTCCAATAACCCAAAACAAAACAGACATTATTTCTGATTCATAATACATGATTAGTTTCACTTGATCAATGTCATCTATTGTATTATTAAACAATGAAATTAGTCATTAGAAACAAAGTAACCATCAGTTAAACAAGTGAAAATAATTTAATTAATACTTACTTTTTTTAAAACGAGCTTTTATGACAGCCTTAATTCTTTTAGGCATGGATTTTACTTTCACTTGATCAATGTCATCTATTGTATTATTAAACAATGAAATTAGTCATTAGAAACAAAGTAACCATCAGTTAAAAATGTGAAAATAATTTAATTAATTAATTAATTAATTTTGCTTCTTTCAAATGTCATGAACTTTCTATCAAATAATTATCGCTATAAATTTAATTCATTGTACACTTTTTGTTATAATTTAACATTTCATGTTAACTGTGAATGAAATAGTTGAACTGAATACAGTAATACCTCGACTTACGCTACCCCGACTTACGCGATTTTCAAATCTCGTCGATTCGTCTTTTGTTTGAGGGCCACGCAACTCTTGATTACTTACTCCCCCACACTATTGTTCGGCTTACATGTTCAGATGTGTCGCGCGGAATCGACACATAGCTACAATTTATTTTGTGTTATTTATTTCTGTGTTTGTTATATCTACGGAGACTTGAGAGACTCTATGTGGTGATTTCTTGTAACTGTGAACAAATCGAAAGACGAGATAAGATTAACGAGAACATTTATTAGCTTACGTGAATTCGACTTGGATTTTACACAAAAGGCATCTGCAATCGTGAACAATTGACAAAACAGTATACATTTATCAGATAATAAACAAAGACTCATTTTGTAAACAATTTACCTTTTGTATATACAACTGACAAGATTACCTTTCAAATTATAAACAGACTCGATCCCAAGCGGTCTTTTGATCGTCGGACATACAAAAGAAATGAACAGATGGCGCCTAACTNATATATAATGCCAAAGGGTGGAGTAGTTAAAATTTTACATTTTTTTTTTAATGTTTCTTAACCTCATTAATAATTTTATAAACAATTTTCTGAATGCAATGTTATTAGAGAATCTCCTTTAAAATTCTGAATAATTGATTGCAACAAATTCCAATTGATTTTAAGTAATATTTATTATGTGTACTTAAAATCAATTGGAAAATAAATATAAAAGGTAACGGTATGCAATTGTCATTTAGAGGAGAAATAACCTAGCTATTTATTTTTCTACTTTTAAAATATAAGTAGGTGTATTACAAAAAGTTACCTTCACTAGTTTTCATAAACAAATGAAGCAACTACAGGTTTTTCAGATGTTTTGCAATTAATATAGGTGACGACGAATTGTCATCCACTCTATTTATACTTCATATAAATAACATTTATATATATAAAGAAAATTACATTCAGAACCTAAAAACTGAATAATATAAATATATATTATTCATATTTAGAACGTAATTTTCTTGTCACGACATTTTGAATATTTGATCGTATTATTTAAAAGCAAAATCACCGTAATTGCATAACACGCAGAGAGAAAAAAGCTTCGTCGGCTTACGTACTAATTATCCGTCAAACGAATTAAACACCCTTACCTTTGCCAATCTCGCTCTCTTTATCAGATCATTTAGTTTCCTCAACGCCGCATTCCTGGGTAGATTCTGTATGTCGTTAAACAGGTCCTGTTCTTCAGCTTCGAACAGTTTGCGGTTGATGTCGTACTGCAACGGCTGGTCCCAGAAAGATCCGATGTAGACCCTGACGACCTCGGGCATGTTCAGCACCTTGCCCAACGACCACATCAGGGCGCCGTAAACTCTCATCAGCTGTTGGTGGTTGACCATGTCTGCCTTGTTCAGAACGATTCTGATTTTGTCGTCGTGACCCCGCAACGCCTCTATGCTCCTCCTGAATTCGTCGGATATGTCCAGCTTGTGGGCGTCGAAGAGGAGAATTATCCGGTCGACCCTCTCGGCGAACCACTCGAGCACGCCGGTGAAGTCGTATCCCCTGTCGACGCGCTGCTTCTCTCCGGACAGTATCCCCGGAGTGTCGATTATCGTTATGCTCCGCAGGACGTCGGAATTGACCATCGAACACTGGAAACGGTTTAGGAAAGCATTACCAAATTTAGCCAACGGTCTGAACTGTTTCTTTGGATCTACAACTAATGCATTACCAGGAATAACACCTTCCTGATCTCCATGCATGACTGTTATGAATCTGTCTGTGGTCGGTTCTGGACCTATTCTGATACCAGGAAAATCTCTTTCTAATAAATACCTTATAAATGTCGTTTTACCCGTAGAATATTGTCCAACCAGCAAGATCATGGGTTTGGCATCGAAATCGGCATCGTCTAATGGAGGAGAATGGAACTCGTGGAAGAAATAATGTTCCTCTAAAGGCAGAATCTTTAACTTGTATATCTTTTTCAGTCCCTCCACCACACTGTTATATAATTCCGGTTGTTTTTTACGGCTATCGTCTTTGTTAAGCCAACTAAACATCTTCGTTTACGTAGAAAAACTAAATAAACTAATCGCGAAAGTTACCACTCACCCTCGGATTCCTTATTTAAAGTGACCGATTCGGAAGATGACGTTTTATACACACGCGACACCTACCGAGCAATACCATCGTGCTGAGGTCATTAAATTGTTCAAATTGCTTTCTTCCAAAATAAATCAGAGAATATTTTCTATCCTTATTATTAATTTTAATAATATTTGCTTGATTTTAATTATACGTAATATAATTCTAATTAAATAAATTTCATTTATAGTTTAACATTTCAGATAATTCCCTAACTATAGGGAAATATTTGAAGATTTTAAAAGTAGTTTTAAAATAATTTCCTAAACGCACGAATTAATTGTCCGCATTTAAGAAAATTCTATAACAATTTAAGACGAGTAATACTTTATTAAATAAAATGTTAGTTTTTATTATAATTCAAATTGGATATTTTCGTTGTCTCGCCAGGGGGCAGCTTTCTTTCCTTATTTTAAAGTTGTCTATAATCATTGAATAAGATTGAATAGAAGTAAATTTATAAAATACAAATATATCTTTTTATTCCATTAATCTCTTCCCTTCACTTCGACGATATTAAAGAATTCTACCGTATTTTAACTCTTCGTTGTACGGTCATTAAAAGGGCCGTTCCTACCCGTCGGGCTCGACCGGGCTCACAAATGGGGCGGCTTCGTGGCCAGGGATGTGAATAACTTGGTCAAACCTCCAAACATTTTTACCTGGTTAAAGAAAAATAGTCATTGCGATAAGAAATCGAATCCGAACCTTCTGATCGAAGCACAATAAGCTTTTATATCGCTATCTTGGGGTTATAAGTAATTGCTATACCAAATAACTTCTAAAATCTTTTAAAAATTGCTGTAGGAAGCATTTATGTTCTCGGGAATCATTGGAATGGGCAATACAATATATATATATACAACAGACTCTCGCTAATCTGGCTATTCCTTACAGAGAAATGCCAGATTACTGAGTGTGTAGGCCTAGACCCTGACTAAAAACAACGAATGACACGATCCGTCTCTGCCTTTCGGTACAGATTCTTTTTGGAGAAGGCAAACAAATAAAACAGAGCACTGAAATTCAATACTGTACACAGAAATGAAATCCGAGTGAACGGGAAAACAGGATGTGTGACATAACTAACGTTTTCACGGAAACGGAAGGCATAAACGATCGTGTACTTGATTATTCAGATCCGGATTAGCAAAATTCCACTGTATATATGTATAGTAGAATTAGAACCAACGAAAACCGAGGTATTTCCTTTTTCTATGTGAAATGTTTTGCATTTGTGTAAGCCAAACTCCATTTGTATGTCCTTGGTGTATGAATGTGTCATTTGTAGGAGCTGCTGAAGTTGTTTCTGTATGGATGCATAAAGTTTTATGTCGTCCATGTACATGAGATGTGACAGTGTAAACTGTGTTGTTTTTTCATATCTGATATTGTAGCCATATTGCGTGTTGTTTAACACGTTGGATAATGGGTTCAGAGCTAGGCAGAACCAGAGAGGACTCAAGGAATCTCCTTGAAAAATTCCTCGCCTAATAAATATTTGGTTTGTTTGTATGGAAGTGTTACTAACCCTGAGATGTAGTGTTGTTCTCCAGTGCTGCATAGTGTTTTCGAAGAATGCAATGAGTGATGGATGTATTTTGTATATGTGTAGAATATGTAGCAGCCAACTGTGTGGAACACTGTCGAATGCTTTTCTGTAGTCTATATATGCCATGTGTATGTTACTGTGTTGTTTGTGTGCTTGCCGTAGAATGACCGAGTAACTATGCCAAAAGTTTGTGTGCCAAAAGGGTGCAAAGAACAGTTACTCATAGATTCTACCGAATCTATGAGTAACTGTTCATAGATTCGGTAGAATCTATGAGTAACTGTTCTTTGCACCATCTATGATTTCTACGGCAACCTTTTTGTTTGTTATTCCGTAAGAATGTCGTGTTCTTCGACACGTTTGTATATTTTGTTTGCGATACAGGATGTCAATGATTTGTAGTGTTGGAAGACATGTAATTGGTCTGTATTGTGTGGGGTCTGTGGTATTGTTGTTTTTAGGTTTCACGTAGGTAATGCCCCGAGTAAGAAATTTTGGCATGTCTTGTGGATTGATGATGATGTGTGTTAGGTGTTTGGCTAGTTCATGATGCAGTAATGTAAACTTTTTGTACCAGAAATTGTGAATGCTGTCTACACCAGGTGTCTTCCAGTTGTGTATTCTGTTCCCTGACACACGCTTACCTTCTGAATAGCCCGCTAGCAATCCGCATCATTTAGGAACTGAACATGCACAGAAATAACATTATTCTAAACCAGCGCTGTCCAACTGGCGGCCCGCGGGCCGTATACGGCCCGCCAAATAATTTTTACGGCCCGCGAGTACATTTTACTATGAATAAATTTATGTTACTAAATTATTATTATTAATATTAAAATTATTTTACTACCGTGTTTCCCCGAAAATAAGACAGTGTCTTATATTAATTTTTGCTCTGAAAAATGCGCTAGGTCTTATTTTCAGGGAATGTCTTATTTTTTCCAGGAAGAAGAATTCACATTTATTATTGAACAAAAAAAATTCCTAAGTCGAACTTAGACGAGAGTGACGTATATGCGGTGTGTCGAACTGTCGCCCTTTTTATAGCGTCAACATCGGACTCGCTGACCAATTAGTGCTTACTGAACCGTAGCACTATGCAAATGTCATGTGGTTTATCAACCTTCTTGGCCCCCGAAATGTTTGGTGAAAAAAATATGGCCCGCGGGCTATGATAAGTTGGATAGTTCTGTTCTAAACGAAGATATCCATTTAACAATTACCGGATCGTCACATCCACGGACTAAGATATCAGACACTTCTCACCTAATGTGACTGCACAAAATGAAATAGAGAAATGTACTACATCCCATAAATGCAACCACTAAATCCTCGGACCGGGAAGTGGAAACGTCACTTTGAAGGTTACAAAATTTTAGATGGTGACCGAAGGAGTTCTATATAATAAATTAATTTAGTTCAGATATACCATCTGATTGACTTATCAAAAAATTTCACGATAAAGGAGATCACAGATTATTATTTTTTTATTATTTGGATAAAATTGTAAGGTTATAAAATATGAAATTAAAGTACTGTACAATGAAATGTTATAACAGAAGTTTTAAATTATCTTTAAATATATTTTAAAATCTCAAATAATTCAAAGAAAAAATTTTAAAATGGCTGCCGCTTCACTAAAACAGAGCGAAACGTTACATTTTAAAACACATTTTACAGCCGAAGTATTTATTGAAAATTATATAATTATATACCTTGAAGTGTATAATTTGTTTAAAAAAATGATACAAATATAGAAACAGATTAAATTTCTATAATTGTTCCTACTTCTTGAAATTGTAATATTTTTTAGTATTCAGCATTGTCAATGACTCAAGTAGATTGTTATGATATTGTGTTACATTTGAAGAATTAGATATTATGAAATTAATACCACAATAGAAATATATTAATCTATCACCAATGTTGAAATAAGTTATCATATTCTTATTTCAATGAAATCAATTAATTAAATACGTTTTTAATTATAGTTACGGATATTTAATCACAATTATTTCAATCAGTTATCCTCGATATATATATTAATCGTTGAATTAATCACTATCGATAGAATTTAACGTCGGCGAACTCTCAAAATTAAAACGCATTGCTTTTCTTTGTTTCCATACCATCGACACGCTTCTTACGGGAGTTCTCCAACCTTATATTCTATCGTGGCTTAATCGTATCTAGTTATCCGAATGGGGGTGTAGAAATGCATAGACCTTCCATTGGAAAGGCCGTATTAATATACTTTTTGCCTTGTGGGGACTAAGAGGATCTTTTTAGCGAACCCATTACGAGTTCGACCAGGCCCACAATGGGACGGAGACGTATCCGGACGGACTACCCGCCAGATTCCCGAGGTAATAATGTACAGTGAAACCTGTTGTGACCTCCTGAATAAGGTGATCATTTTAAGCTGGTTCCTTCAGTAGTCGCATTAGCGGGTTTCACCGTATAATAATACGAATTTGAAAGTTTTCTTATATAATACAGTACAGTCGACCCCCCTATAACACGGTAGATACGTTTCGTTCTTTATGAATCCATTTTGTACGAGTCCTTGCTAATCACAGTCCGGCACGNAATATTCAAAATTTTATCAATTCGGAGAGCGACACCATACGTCGAAATGTTTAAACAATAAATAATGTCTTATGCAATGCAACGAGATACTGCAAACAAACAATTAATTTCAATGGAGTTTTTAGTGATTTCTTACAACACGGTTTCCGTTCAAAAGAAATTATTCCAGCAAAGCTTATCGATATCTAAGATAATTTATTAAATCAATTTTTTGCAATTAGTATTTGTTACGAGCCAAATTGAAAGCATTAAGCTCATTGATGCACGAGTAAAGCCGGCGACACACGTACTGTACCGGTACCTGTACTCGAATGCGCGAATGTAAACTTTTTGTACCAGAAATTGTGAATGCTGTCTACACCAGGTGTCTTCCAGTTGTGTGTTCTGTTAACAGCGTNTTTGAAGTCTTTCGATAATAGCTTTGTTAACAGGTCTTTTACACAGAAGTTCCAGGGACGAATCGGAAGTGTTGTTACGATTCATATTTGTGGTTGTTTGGCGTGACTCTTTTCTCGAGAAAGAATCGCTGTTTAGGGAAGATTCTCCGTTAGAAAAATCTGCATCTTCTGGGTCACTGTAAATTGCAGAATCTCTAAAAATTTCATCCGTAAATACACTTTCGATGGCATCGAACGTCCGTTCGTAATAACTGTCGATAGACGTGTCGCTGGTTTCCGACGGAGTGTCTTCGTGGTCGTCGTCTAGCAATTTAAAGCCGCTCGCTGCGAGTGATGCATTTTCACGAGTTAAAGTTTTATCTCCTTCGCTAGACGATTCGGAGAATAAGCTGTCGGGTCTAAGATCTGCATCTTTTGTATACTTTGTTTGCTGTACTGGTGTACAGTTCTTTGGAATATAATATAATAAAATCTTATATACGAAGTTGTAATTCATAAATCGTCACACTGTATTTGTCAAAGACAGTCGACTGTCACGGCCGACGTCCGGACGCCTTTTGTACTCTATATATCTGCCTCTCCATCAGATCCCGTTACCGACGGAAGTGTTATCATCATCAATTTTAATGGGAAATTAAGTTTACGGAAGCATTTTAAAAATAACTATTTACAATTAAGTACAGTTAAATTACGTGCCAGTTAAAAATAATGGGCAATTAAGCGATTACGCAGAAATGCGGCTTATCTTAAATTGAAAACGTCCGTATAATTTGATAATTATAATGTGTAGAAAAAATTCGGTTAGACGACCGAATGGTTAAGGAGGCAGCCTATTGCTCCGGAGGACCCGGGATCGAAGAATTCCGGAAATTTTTCGGGCAGGAGCCCATCGCCCCTCACCATTGATGGATCTGGCCGAACCCATTGGAAGCTGGATAAAAACAATGCCTTCTTAGTGCCCACGAGCGAAATCGACAAAATAGCGGTAATAATTTGTGACGTTTTCAACTTCCTGTAAAAAATAAATATAATTTTACTTTTTACGCTCTGTTGCTCGAAGCGTCCCAATGAAACGGTAGCGGCTTTGTTTAAATTAATACTCTTAAAATCGAGAAATTATTAACATTTAAAGGCCATTTTGTGACAATCTTCGGCAGCGACTCCCTTTGTAATTTTACCAAAAAATATTACACAAAAATAGTTTCTATACTAAATTTATTGCATTGTAAGTTGCTACATTGTAGTCCAGCCACGCAGATTTTGTTTTTTCACGTTTACTACATGAATTAATACTGGCACTTAGTAAACAAACATTTAATTACAAGCACAGAAAATAATATACATGTATTGCCATTAGAAGAGGGTATTTTGAACTTTTGTGGCAGTGTTTCTATAAACATGAATATAAAAAAAGTTTTGCTAATATGCTTATCTATTGGAATGAAATATATGTATGTATGTATACTTATAAATACCTACATACATATGTATATACATAAAAAAAATCACAATTTAACAATTGTAGCATATAAAATTACAAAAAAAATTGATGTTTTAGTTCTTAAGCAAATATTTTTTTAAAAAAGTGAACATAGTGATATAAAGATATTCAAAATGGTATAAAGATGGTAGCGGCTTTAGGCGTAGGCAACCTAGGCTTTGGCTTTTAGTGACTTCCGAGTGTCCGCCCACATTCCATCTAGATCCTACACTACGCTACATAATATCCTGTATTTTACGTAATAAAAATCTACACAAAAAAGGGCCCGGCAAGCCCACATTTGCCTAGTGCCTTACCTAAAACCACTACTGTGTAAAGATAAGAAATTAATATTGGTCCCAATTAAAACGATCCAATTAAGGGAAATGGCAATTACGATGCGAATAGCTTCCGGCACTCTGACATTTCGCAAAGTTCGCTTTGATTATTTTAAAGAACGAAAGAAAGATAGAAGCAATGTTTGACACGTGCTCTTTTCTCATTTAGTACGGTTGGCATCGAATACAAGTATTGACTAGACATACTCTATTCTCTCGAATTTGGTGCACGCTGGCATCTTTATTTTTTGTTAATCCAAAAACTTGATATTTTAATATTCTTTTATCTTAATAAAAAAAATTTGACGGTTATAACTTTTAAAACATTTTGATTTCCGAATATCAATTTTAGAACAAAAAGAAAAGCAAATTATTTAAAGATTCGCTACTTTTTACAATTAATTAATATTTAAATACGGCGCTACGAGAAAAATTTATATTACAACGTCAACGCGGAACTCGTACCGTTCCTTTACAAAGTATATATAATTATTACATAAATGGAATAACAAGTTATATATATATATATATTAAAATTCAAATATTAGAACCAATCATTCATTTACAAATGAGAATTGGCACTAAAACAATGTACTGCTGCAAGTTTGTTAATTTTTGCTTATTATAAATAACAAAAAAACTTTTATTTATAAGTTATCTCATAAATTTTGATCACAAAAATCTTGCAAGAGTCTGATATGTTGCCATTTTGTCAAAAAATTATGATTTTTGGACTGAGAATGAAATTTGTGTTAATGAAAAAGTTTGGTAAAATATTGCAATTTCTCATAAAACCTGCTTTGTTTGATATGTGAGGATGTTAAACGGTTCTATAAACAAGTAATCATATATTTTTACAATAAATATATATTAAAAACTCATCTAACGCTCAATTATATTAATTTATGTTAGAATTCTGTAAATATTTTACACAAAAAGAAAGTTGGTCCTTAATACATTGATTTGAATTTTGCAAAATCATTTGACAATATTGACAATCATAACAACAACAACAATAATAATAATACTCGTATAAAAATAACTTAAGGCACTCAACACCACTTCTAATGTCAAACTGACCATGTAAAACTGTAAATTATTTGTGTGTTTATCATTGCAAAAGAAAAATTTTACAAATTTTGATATATAAAAATATGTTCTATCAAATACTGTTAAGACAATGTTATTTAACAAGAATGTAGTAACTTGCAACAGTACAAACTGAAGGCAATACTGTGTATAAAACACTTTAGTAGTTAACATTGCTTACTTTAGTCATAAAGTTCCATGTAGATGGATACTTTGGCACTTAATTGTGTGTGTTTTGTAGTGCAAGGCACTTCTTTATAAATTATCCCGAGTAGCTTTCGCTTTGGAATTTGTCGACTACGTGCTTTACCCATCCTTTGGCCCTCGTCTGAGTTTTAATCGCGTTGTTGACGGGCGAAGACGGCGTGACCGTCAAAACCGTAGAAGCAGAATGTTCCGAACTCGTTTCGCTTTCGCAGTCCTGCAAACAGTTGTGACAGTTTTCGGCATCGGCATTTCTACTTCTGTTGCTTTTAGAATCTTCCGAAAATCCAAATAAGTTATTCTTACGAAATTTTGCATTTGCTTCCAGTATTTGAAGTCTTTCGATAATAGCTTTGTTAACAGGTCTTTTACACAGAAGTTCCAGGGACGAATCGGAAGTGTTGTTACGATTCATATTTGTGGTTGTTTGGCGTGACTCTTTTCTCGAGAAAGAATCGCTGTTTAGGGAAGATTCTCCGTTAGAAAAATCTGCATCTTCTGGGTCACTGTAAATTGCAGAATCTCTAAAAATTTCATCCGTAAATACACTTTCGATGGCATCGAACGTCCGTTCGTAATAACTGTCGATAGACGTGTCGCTGGTTTCCGACGGAGTGTCTTCGTGGTCGTCGTCTAGCAATTTAAAGCCGCTCGCTGCGAGTGATGCATTTTCACGAGTTAAAGTTTTATCTCCTTCGCTAGACGATTCGGAGAATAAGCTGTCGGGTCTAAGATCTGCATCTTTTGTATACTTTGTTTGCTGTACTGGTGTACAGTTCTTTGGAACACTATATTCACTTTCTAATGGACAAGCCATGCGAGCACCGATGGCAGAACTACCCTGTTTATAGAATGGAAGTGGCAATTTTGGAGGGGTAAAGTAAACAGATGGATTTACGAGTTTTTTGTTGCCATCGTGCTTCTTTAAATGCTGCTTAATTACTGATGTGTATGCTTTTGCCACTGACTGTACTAATTTTGTAGTTAAAACTTTAGGACTCAAATCTTTTTCAATTCTAATGCTACTTTGGCTACTTGATTTATCAAAACCATCGTGCCGTATACTACAGTCGCTACTAATTGATATGTTTGAACACGAATCTGTATAATCTGATAAGAGATGAGGTGCTATGGTAGCTTTTAATCCTGCAAGCTTAGAACTCACATTACAGAATACATTTTTAAGAGCAATGTATTTAGATGCTGCTTGATGGTAGATTTTATGTTCGGGATGGATGGAATGAACATTTTCCATACTTAATGCAGGTGTATTTGTACATCCAGTAGTATCTTGTTCTTCGTCACCAGTTATAGAAAAACTTCTTTCGGACGAAGGCGGATTGATATAATTTTCAAATTCGTCATTCATTTCGACATTTTGAGGTTTATCCGAGGCTATGGTATGCGGTCGCTGTTCACTATATTGGGTTTTAATGCCAATTCTCAACTTTGGCTTCTGATTAGTATCGGGTGAATTAGGAAGAGAATTTGGCATAAATGATTCTTTTGAATAAGTACTACTTTCTTGATTAAGCTGGAAACTTCTAGGAAGTGAACCACATTTCGCACAGCTTTTGGCAAGATGTTCGTGCTGAAGTTTTAACCACGATTCTGGTGTGATCGGACTTAAATCTTCAAGAGACGGAAGTCTTTGGGAATGGAATGGCAAATGTAAACTGTTTGGTTTCTTTGGAGGAAGTTCCGCAATTGATTTTCTTGGTGTATTTCCTACAGATGCACTCTGACGAAATGATAATGTGTGTTGAAGAGATGCAACTTTTGCTTTTGCCATTCCTGTAAAAGACTGAACTCTGCGAATAGCTGCGTTATTTTTCCATAATTTTGTAGGTGTTTCATTCTCTCCATTGCCATGTTTCCTTTGCAAAATAGTTTTTTCTTGAATGTTTTCAATGCTTTTCAAGCTGTCTGATTTATTTTTGTTTATTTCTGATTTTAAATTTTCCTTATCAGGAATGACACACATAGAGAGTGTGTCAACAGATTTTGATACAGCTAGATTATTTACAGAATTTTGATGCTGCATTTCTTCAATATCTTGTATATCAAATTCTCCAGAAACATAGCTTTCGTCTGTTAAATCTAAATTAGATTCTTCCGTTCTACGAGCATGAGAATTGGCAAAGAAAAACGTTACATATTCACCAGACTGATCGTCACTTCTTTCTAGGATCTTCGATTCGCTAATTGATTGAGTTGATGGACGGTACTGTAGTAAATGATATAAATCAATTCTTTCTAAGCAATCTTCAGGTTCAGTATCTGTTGTTTCACCTGGAAAACTATTCCATGCTTTCCAATTATGTCTAGAATGATCTTTTCTGCCATTCCTCTCAGAATTTTGTGGATTTTTATCGTCAACCGACAATAAATGATTACCATTCCTTGCCAGTTTGTTATTATCCAAATTTTTCGGTGTTTGTTTTGTATCCTTTTCATAAAATATACAGATATAAGTTTAGCATAACGGAATTATTATTATTATATTAAACATCAGTTAGAATTTTTACTTACATTCTTGGTTTCGGAATATTTTTCTCCATTGTCACTATTCTGATCATCAGCCGTACTATCCTGTTCCAAAATATCCTGTTGTCTCTCTTTCCGGTTAACAGCAGGTGACTGGAAATAGGAAATAATTCATAATGTTATTATAAAAGCTGCTAAGTATTATATTAAATCTTATAAAACAGGAAAAAAAAAATTAAGATTATTATGATATATTCGCATACACAAAAATATTGATTCATAATTATTTATCAGAATTTAACAAAAATTAGAATTACCTTCATGCCAAATATATGCACATATATTTTATTTACTTTTATGTATATATAACAAATTTTATATATATAGTATATTAAAAAAATAATCTTTCCTACATGAGAGTATGTTTAATATAACATTGCTTTTATGAGAAGTAAAAACTATATTAAGTCACAAAATTACATGATACTTACTGTTTTGGGCGTTAACAAATTCCCCTGAAAAAAAAAATCATAATTAAAATATGTATATTTAATTAAATCATTATAATAATGATTAATTCATAGATGTTTTTGTATGTTTTATCCAAAAATATTCATACAAGATGTATTTTATTTTATGTTTCCCAAGTGGTGTGTGATAATTATTAAACATTATAATCACTAAGATTCAGATTCCAGTGATTGTTACAGTAATTAAAATATTTCTGTTAATAATGTTTATTTCTGGTTGATCATATAACTCAGGGGTGGCCAACCTTTTGCATACCATGCGCCAATTTTTTGATAGATGAGTTCACATGCGCAGTGGCGTACCGTGAGTGTTAGCAGCCCGGGGCGGAGAAAAATTTCGGCCACCTCTTAATTAGGTATTCAATTTATAAGACGAAAATTCAGATTTGCCACAGAACAAGCTATAAAAAATGCGGTTGTAGTGTAGCTACCCGTATAAAATAGTTCTATATGACATCAGTGGTGTACATGAACACGAATGCATTGTGTATCGTACAAGCAAAAAAAAAAAAAAAACAAAAAGGTCAACAGGTCGATTGCACCGAATTGTGTAAGAAATACACTTGCCAAGATACACTGTAAAAAATTAATTTCCTATGTAATATTCATAATTGCAATGAAGCCAAATCTGGCAATGTTGCTCGGAACCGACTGAAGCGCCACTTGTAGTCGTCCAATGCGCCACGTTTTGGCCACCCCTGATATAACTGATACTGAGTTTGAGTTTAAAGGAACACTCTGGAAATGATCACCTTCTTTTAATAATTGAAGAGAACTGTTAAGGAATTCGATAAGTAGATAAAACTGCATAAAAATAGTAATTCTAAAAGTATTATAGATAAGTAGTTTGTGATGAATGAGAAGGAAAATATTTTGATTTATAAAACTAATTGAAGCATTACAATTTTAGTCAAGTGTAAAATCTATTTAAACAAATTACATGACTTCATATTAAATAAGAACATAAACACAATGCTAAAATAAATAAAGGCATTCAAATTTATTTGGAAATAAACATTCTCTCATCAGAGCTTACAAATTTGTAACTAGATCATCAGAGTGCTTTGTTACACTTCAGTTGCCAACTTTGAGTTCTGATGAAGGGATATTTGGTCTTAAAAAAAAAAAAAGTTTAATCTCAAATGAATCTGAATGCTTTCATTTATTTTAACATTGTGTTTTTCTTTGTAAAATTTATTATAATACAAATGAGTCCATTATAAGTAGAACATAAAATTTTTCAAGAATTATTTTTTTGAGTTTTAATAGCAAGAAATTTGTTTGGATAAAATGTTTTTCAAGCCACATCATCTCATCTCCAGATCTCCAACTACAATCTATGCTGCAAGCAAAAATGAGCCAACTTGCCATACCCATCACACATTACATTGGTGAGAAAAATACTTTATTTTTCTTCCTCAACATCCACATGTGAATGTAGTGTAACTGGCTCTCCTCACACTAGAATAAGATCACTAGTGAATCAATTATTTAGTTCACTGACAGTCTTTATGGAGTGGAGGAGACTTATTATGCATAAATTGTGGTGTATCTCACCATGTATATATATGCTTTATTCGCTAATAGTCTATGTTATCTGTAATTTCTTCATCTACGTAAATAACCCGCACTATTTTTCCTTGTTTAACTCTTCCGATCTATATGCACTTTCTGGCTAGTTTTGGGCCGAAATGGGCACCAACCAACAAGGCAGTGTAGGAAGACTTTTCTTCTTTGTTCATTCTTGGAAAAGCAAGCAAAAGGAGAACCACGTGAGGAGAGAAGAGAACGTATCCATGCGGTCTGGTAGTATATGCTAAATTCATCGTGGTAAACGTCGGAAGATTGCCCAACTCGTTATACAGATAAGAGGAATTTCCTTCTAACATGACCTTTCTGTATTCTTTTTTCTAACCTAGATTATATTAGTTTTTATTTTAAGTTAAGTTAGTTATAATCAGTATTATAATACAATCCTAACAGATTGTGTACTGGCTGGTTTCAGGACCCGCACTTGCAACCGGATGTATGAGCTTTGTGAACGAGAAAAAAAAGAAACAGTTTAGACTTATGTACTTCAAAATGGTTAACGTGTAATATTATGGATGGTTTCGAGATCATGTATTTTGAATAATTTGTAGGTTAACTGAAAATAAATAATTTCCTTTATCGTTAATTGAAATTTGTGTTAATATGTGGTGTATTATTTGAATAATACAGTTTTCATTAACCGGTCACACCACAAAATAAATAAAACAAGAACTTATATTGGAATAAACATAAATAATATAAATAACACCTTTAACCATCCAGCAATAAAAATGTTTAATATGACAAAAACGTTTTCAACCGTTTTTTTAATGGCCATCTTCAGTTGGACTAATATTAAAAAAGAACATTAAAATGGAATGTATGAAATACAAATTAAACAGAATCCGAAACATGCATGCACAGTTCATCTGACTTGCGTCTTCGGATTATCTATAAATAACTTACAAATAACATAAAAATAAAGCTGCCAACAGGGAAATATACATTAATTACATTGTATTAATCTGTGTTATTGTAAAAAGATTTCCAGGCATAAGATAACACTTCTGCAACTCTATGATTAATGCATCCCTTGCTTATGTGAGCCTTGTGTATCTCAATCTTTTCAAGATGCTTCACTGCTTGTTTGGAATTCGTGGCTCTAATAATTGAGGCTTGATCCCAATATACCTTGACCTCCTGCTGTTTGGCAAATGCTGCGAGCACTGTGCTATTATGCAACAGTAACATGAGTAAAAAATGGGGAAGTTTTTTCCAACCACAATGAAGTGCTGGTTGGTTTATTTCTGCTTGCAGAACAGATTAAACTTTGGGATCAGGAGATGAAACAAAAGGTCTTGAAGAGAAGTTCATTCAAAAATATTTCTGCTTCCTAAAATCTTCCAAATATCTATTTTTTGAAGTTTATATTCCATTTTAGTTAAGATTATTAATAATTGCATGAAAATGTATTATTCATAAGTTACTATTCATATTTTCGATTATAATAATACAATAAAACTTGGGAGACAAAAATAACCCTAAGACAGAAACTTATGAAAAGTAGAAAAATGAAGTTACTCTGGCATTATTGTCAAAATTTTCCCTCTAAAAATCCTGTCTAAGGCAGAACCTGAGATATAGGTGGAAAGTTATAGGTGCATTGCCTGGTAAAGTAGATTTAATAGAATTATATAAGGAAACTAACGACAGTTTATTTCAAATGAAATTGGCTATGTCTTTGGTTTGCTTATCCAGCTGTATTAAAACTGCTTTACCAGGCAACATACCTATAAGTCATCTTTTATATCTATGTTATTAATGTAAAAGACAAACTAAAACAAGTATCCACATACATTTGAAAAGTAAATGGTGTTTTTATATTAAAATATGTTTTGAATGTCATTGTTGTATTTTAACAAGAAAGTTTTAGTTTTTATCCTTAAAATAGCTATACTTTTCAGCCTTTAAATGACATTGTTTGATTGACTTAATGATTCCAGCAGCAAAATATCCCAAAGACTAAACAAAGTAATGTCCCTCAAAGACAAAATTAAAGTGCTAGACTGTTTACAGGGAGGAAATTCAGCAGCTACAACTACTTATGTTTGTCATGAGGGAGGGAATTATAAATGCAGTAGCAAAATTTCTCTGTATGATAGCATATTTTTATTTTCTAAACATATACTTTTACAGTCCTACAACCTTATTTCTTCAATATATTCTTCTCTTTCATATTTATGATTTTTGCAGAACATAAGCTAAGAATTTGGAGCTGATACTGTACTAACAAGTAAGTAACATTGCCATTAAATATCTGTTGGTACTGCACTGCCTGGTTGATGAGGAAAAAACTAAATCTGTAGGATTATATGTTAGTTCTAATTATTTGTACATTAAAAAGAGGTTGATCTAAAATATTCAAGTATATTCTCTTGAATTCTCAATAGATATGATAACAGGTCCATTGAGAATGCAACTGTGCTGGTAAGAATTGATTTTCTTTACAGATTATATTACTGTTATTAAAATAGTTTATCACTGAAATCAGCGAGTGATGGTACTTTTGTCTATTTTTAATAATACATTCAGTTAACTGAATTTTTATTAAAAGTAGACAAAAGTACCATCACTCACTGATTAACCTAACATAACATAAATATCAAGCTCAATAATTTGGCTGTTTGATTATCTTTTGATATATAGATTAACTGAAAACAGAGGTTCATACATACACAAAATATTTTGATATTTACGAAATAATTTAAAACTTTAAATTAAAAATAAAAATTTTATTAAAACTGATAAATCCTCATGAGAAGGTTTGGAAGAGCTAATGTCTCTCATAAAATAATAATAATTGCAATCCTATTCTACTGAAGAAAAAGATGAAATGCTTAAATGAAAAAATTAAACATGTTCGATTATAATTTCATGATAGAGGGATTAAGAGAAAGATTTAAATAAAGTACATGATCATAATTAAAATATCCCTGGTCAATGCTGTCTGGAGGGTTACATAACAGTCCAAATGCAATCAAATTTTGTATTCTGACATTTCAACAACCAAAATGTGATAATTCTCTTGCTGTTTTTTTCACGTTATTAATTGTAAGCTGCATGAGGAAAATGATACAATTGAAGAAGAGAAACATGTTGCATTCAAGATGTTTTACAGTTGCCATTATTAATATAGCCTTTAATTTAAATATCTTCATACTAAATCTAACAATAAATAGGCTATTTTTTGGTGTTAATAGCTTTTTTAAAAACAATATAAACATGCAAGCACTTTCATCTATATACAGTAGACCCCCTCTATAACACTGTAGCTAATTCCGTGTTACATGAATTCCACGTTGTACGAGTCACTTAGATTTTACAAATACGTGAGCCGTTCACAGCCCGGCACACGTATTTGTAAAATCTAAGTGACTCGTACAACATGGAATTCATGTAACACGAAATTATCTACAGTGTTATAGAGGGTCTACTGTATCATCATCATCATCATCATCAGGCAAGAAATTCTTTTTATAACTGAAATATCAAACAGAATCATGTTTTTTATGCATTTGAAGAATATTTTAAATTACGTTCTCTTTAATAAAAAGTCCAAGTAGACAATATAAACACAGAAATGTAAAACAATAAGGACATAAAGGTAAAAAAAAAAAGAAATATGTAGAATGTTTCTTTATTAAATAAATAAATAGTCTTATATATTTTCCTTTTGTTAGTTAAAATCATATTAATTTATACGGGGGGTTCAAAACACTATGGGACCCCTAAGTTTTCTCTGGACCTGGGGGAATCTCCAAGAGGGAGGGAGCCGATGTCCCTTTCTGCAGGAGCCACAGAATTGCTGCTGTCACAAGAGGAGTGATGACAGATATGCCATAGTAAACATAGGAAGAATTTGAGTATCAGTCTAATGTGTGCCATATGACACAAGGTTCATGCATTGAAAAACTAATGGTCAAATGTGAAACTTGGACACTTTTCCAATATTTTAACGTACATCACAACATTCTCAGATAATAATTAAGATAATTACAATAGTTTAAAATGGCAGAATTCTTTTTGGAAGACACTGTATTTAAGTTGGTTGAATAGGAAAATAATCTGATAAAAATTATAAAATTTAATTCAGCAGGATTATGTTTAGCTTTACTATTCATGTTAATTTGTATTTTTGCAAATGTGTTATAAATAATTTATGTCAAAATTTTACTTACAAATTGTAAAATTTCTCTGATTTTAATAAGTAATGAGATATTCTTTTCATCAATCAGCTTACCTTTCTTGTTCCTAGAATAAAATAAATGTATAATTAAATAAAATAATTATGAAATTTAAAAAGATGTTTTAAAAATCAATAAAGTAACTTCATTGAGCAATTTATGTATTGACTAATTTTAGAAAAAATTCAATATAATATTGAAAAATAATTATCTTTTCTAAATAAGAAAAAAAACAATGCTATTAATAAAGAAATGCTTATAATACTTGACCAGTTTTCTATTTTTAATAATATAATTTTCAAATATGGAAAATTGAAGATCTAAAATTACAAAACAAAATATTTTTTCTGGAAATGTAGTTAACGAATGACTTAACTTCATTTAGTTCTAACCAAGTTATATTATTGATTACTTAAATTTATTGTTTAAGAATAGGTAAGATAAATGTTTGTTTAGTTGTTTTCTAAGATATACTTTTTCTTAAAGATAAAAGGAATATATACTTAATATAAACAGGAAAAATTACCTCTTTTGAGTCGAAAAGCTCTGTTCAGACTAATTTCGGATTTCCTTCTCTCGTTTTTCCTCCTTTCCAAATATTCAGGAGCCGACAACAACCTTCTACTTGTGCTCTTTTCGATACTGCCATCTAAACGAATTAAATTTTCCGTTTAGTGTCAAGAAGAGAACTTTTATGTATCAAAAAATGTAACGTATAAAATCATATATAACGACCTTCTTGTCTATTCTGTCCCAATTCCATAACGAGCTGTCGGGCGTGAGAGGGAATGACGGCATTGTAATTTTCTAGGATGACTCGCTTTAACTGCAAACACCATTCTCGTTTCTGTTCTAAATTACGAGTCTGAAGTAACAAAATCAAAATTCTAACTTTTGAAACAAATATTGAAAAATTTATTTCTATTATAATTTTAATACAAAGATGAAGTAAATACAAAAAAGATAAATGAAACAGTAAGATTGAATTTAATATTACTTGTATATAAATTGAATAATGAGCATATCTAATTTTATTAATAATCATCATTATAAATTTATTAAATTTACTATTATCATTATTAAAAATTTATTACACACAGTTTAGATATAGTAAACTCCAAAAGGAATGCAGAATTTGAAAAACAGCATCTTTTAAAATTCATTATATTAATTGCCATTAATCCTGCCAGACAAGAACTATTGATAAAACATCCAATTCACTAATGAAATTCTTCATAATTCCTTGTATATTTCCAATTAAATCTGTAATCATTAATTTAAATAATATTCACAAGTTGGCTAGACGGTTGCACAGTAAAATGTCAGTTCATCCCATATACTACATGGGCTGAACTGCATGGACAGTGCTTTATAGAGTATACATGCCAGTGACTCTAGTTCACTATTTGACTAACAAGCCAGTAATTATATAAAAACAACTGTAATCCAAAAATGCTATTCTTTCAGAGTTTACTGTACATTACATTCTATTGATGCCATTGAAATATCCATTTATATAATTGCAGAATTTATTTTTTAATAAAATGAATAATTTAAAAGAAGAGATGAACAATTCAATAAATAAGTATTATAAATAACAAATCACTAAATATTAATTACGCAAAATCTTGGATTACAATAAAATAAAATTAATTAATTAATGATCAACAAATTTCAACAAAAATATTCATATTAGATACCCACGATTGCTGTAAATAATTGGGCTATAATTTGGAAATATTATGAATTACAAATAAATTTGACACTAGAGGGAGGCATTAGGTGCCATCTCATATTAAATTTAATAATTATAATATTTAATTAATTAAATTTAGAATAAACTGGAAGAAAAGAATCGGCCTGAAGCGGGACTCAAACCAGCAACTCCCGCTTACCGTGCAGACTCGTTGCCAGTTACGCTACCCAGACCTTCAGTCCTATCTCCTCTTCCAGTATTCATATTACTGTTTATTGTAATTAAAAATAATAAATCTGAGTTCATTTAAATAAATTAAACCTTTATAAGTTTGAAAAAGTATCTTCTGGGATCTATAACTTTTGCATCACACACGTACAGTACATTGTTAGGTACAGCATACATCCAAGGATGTCGAGAATCTATATGGGGCCTGGGGATAAAGCAGACCCTTTATGCCATTGTGTTTTTGAATAAATGAAATATGTAGAATGTTTATTTATTAATAAAAAGTAGTTTTAAATGTTTTATTTTTTGTTAGTAAAAGTAAGATTAATTTACACAAATAGGAACTATTACTGGTCCTAAGTTTACTCCTAAGGAAAAAAATCCCCAACCCCCTCTTAATAGCAATGTATATGTCAGNGAAAATTGCAAAAAACTGCGCTGCTGAACATAACCAAAACAAAAATATCTTTAATTTGACTACTGAATTTACAGTGTTTTCCTTGTTTAATCTTTTCTTCTTGTCTGTCCCAACAAATTTTAACTATAAAATTGTAAAAATAATAATAATAATAATAAGCAAAAATTAAAACTTTCAGCAAGAGCCGCATGTAACTCAAAAAGAGCTGCATTTGCCCATGTCTTGCTCATGTATGTCTTACAAGAGAGATGTGGATTTGCATCTGCTCCATGCTTTTTTCTTAATGTGTCGAAAATTATTTAAATTAATTCAAATTTATTAATTAGTAATATCACTGATAAAAAGTATAATCCAAATTTGGTAATCCAATTCAATTAAGTTAATTTCTAATTTGAAGATACATGATGTAATTATTAGCACAGGGTAAATGACCGTTTAAGTCATTCTGTTGTTAGAACAAATGAATTGACTTTCCTCTAAATTTTGCTATCTATCTGAAATATAATTCATTAGAATAATCAATGGCTTTTTAAAACTTTGATAAAATTGTAAGGCTTTTCTCATCACACAAATATAATGTTTATATATATTCAGTTAAAATTAAACTAATCATTGCAGTTAATTTAATGAAGTAAGCAATACACCTTAAACAGTGAGCAAAGTTGGAGTTTAGTAGTGTTTTCAACCTGGTTAATGGGTCATCTTTGGGTACAAATGTAAGAGTAATGTGTACGAATAATGCCAGTACCAAATAGAAAAGACAAGGAGTTTCTCATTTTAACTACTTCATTAATATACACACATTCTAACAGAACAAATTCTAAGAAATTACTGTTTACTTTAACATTGTAATTGTATAAATAATAATTATTATTCACTGATTTATGATTTCCTATCTTTTAGCAATAATGTAAAAAAAATTAGGTTTCATTGAAATTAAATACAGTATCAAAAAAATTTTATAAATGATTACTATAATTACACGAAATGCGTCCAAGAAAACAAGATAAGTAAAATGTTTATCAAAATTAAATATGATAAATTATTATAAAAAATAAAGATGACAATAAATAATATAAATTTAATATGTTTATATTCTATTCTGTAGTAAATAATTTTTTAATATCAAACTAAACAGACATCTTTACTAACCTGAAAAGTATATTGGAAACGAGGATTGTCAAACGGAATTACATGAAAACACAACGGTTCTCCCTGAATACTTTCGATTAACATCAAATTGGAACACTGTAAAAAATTTTTTAATAAACATTTGATTTCATATATTCAATTTCATTTCAGTAAATACTTTCAAAATGCTTCAATTTGTAAAACTCTAAACTAAATCCTTAGAAATTTAAATTTACAAACTTTATTATAAAGATTTTATAATAATAGAATATTTAGCAAGGTTATTATGAACTTTTTACAAGAAAATAATTCTTGGTTTTTTAATTCGTGAAAAATGACTTAACTATAAACTGCAACAGTTTTATTTGATTCAACTTTGTGCTAAAGATTTTTTAAATAAATTAACTTGCTTGCAAAGTAAATTACAAGCAGAGTAGCTAAAAATCACTGACAATGTTTCATATTAATTTTTAGAAGTTGTAGAAATTCTTAAGTTTATTTACCGTTTTATAGTCTATATGTAATATATATATAAAACCAACAAAATCAAGAAATTATTATTTCTCACCATAATATGTGTTTTGTAACAGAGAATTCCTTCTTCTCGCTTTTTAGCAATGAGAAGCATCTTGTCAAAAAGGAATAAATGCCTGAGAGCTTTTGCACGAAACATTCTAAAAGTACCTTCGGCTACCAGTTCTCCATAAGTAGTCAAATCTTGACCCTAATTTTTGAGGATATTTATAAATTAGTAATCATATAAATTTAATTTTAAAATGAGTTAATCTTGAATAAAATGAAAGCATTACTGGTTACTACGCAATTTAAAAAAAAAAAAAATTTTATAATTTTACTTTCTTAACACACCCAACCTGAAGACAAAATTAAAATAACTACAAAGCTTTAACTTCGGCTATTTAATTCTATCATCATTCTAATTTCAACAAATAAACATTTATTGAAACTAAACAATTATTAACTAGTTTTTAGTAAATATATTTTTTAAAAATTAAAAATTTTATATAATTGTTAAATCAAACTTTTTGATGTTTGAAAGGACAGCTCTTTTTTTGTTTTTGCCGTGGATGGTGAATTTCTAAGCTTGAAAGTTCTTAGAATTTTATGTAAAAATGGATTTAATTTTTGCACGATTTCAGCCGACAAAAAAAATTTTCCATCATATAGTGCATATTCCTCCAGATTTGGTTTTGCTAACAACAAAAATCACTTGTGAAAATTAATTTTTATTGTCATATATTACTGCTTATTCTACAGCATTACCATTTCAACATTTATTTAATAATTAACAATTAAAATTGTAAATTGGCATTTGTCACAATGCTTTAGAATTGTGTAATTAAAAAGCAAATATTTTTTTAACTTTACATGAATAAAGTTTTATAAATTGACAAAATAGCACTAAAGGTAGAGACACTAATGTTTTCTGAGTAGAAAAATGGATGAGAACAGAGTTCAACATTGTTCAACTTCTGTTTCTATACACGACACAATCCAATCAGAGTAACTGCTTCTTAGTAATTGTATAATTGCTTCTGAACTTCATCAAAACCTCACAAGGAACATATTTTTAAAATGTGGTAAGAACAAAAGACACAACATGCACAACCAAGTTACAAATATTTATAAAATATGTGAGAAAACATTATAATGACAAAACTCAAACATAACAACAATTCAAAATGAAGTATTCCAAGTAAAAATCTCGAAGCTAGTAGCCATATTCAATTTATAACTTTGTGTTTCTAGAGGGTGCCAGATGGCATTATATGTTTTGTTTGGTTGCATAATGTACCACTGTTAAAGGAAAAAAAATCAGAAAAACCGAAACATGTTTTTCTGCCATAAATATTCCTGAGCAGAAAACATCAAGAGTGTTCCTACCTCTTATCTCAAACAAACAATTATTTATTCTATTTAAAACAAAAAAAGACAATGACAATTAATAAAGTTGCCTTACATTAACAGAGTGGCTACTCAATATTTTAAAATTAATTTACATATAACTAATATGACAATATTGTCATATTAGTTATATGTAAATTAATTTTAAAACATTTCTTTGTAGACTGTTGTTAGAATCAATCTTCAATCATCCCTACAGCCATAATCTAACTTACAAAGAAAATTTTGTTGGAGTTGAGGCTACTCCATCTTCAGGAACTTTCATCATCAAAAAGAAAACAAATATTTTTCCTCCATGTACAATTATACAATTTGAAATATTTTATGTATTGTAACATATTCATTGTCAAAAAATCTGGCAACAAGTTCCTCTTTCCTGACTGTTATAAAATGCTATTTAAAAATAATTTTTATATTATTAATACAATTAATAAAATTGTGTGGCACCATCTGTTATGAGATTTTGTTATACAAAACTTTTTATATTTTTAATTATCAGCAAATGACAAAAAGCTTAATTCTCTGAGGGTAGGGATGAGTTTTATAGAATATTGTAAATGCCAATAACGAATAACATCTTCATTAAGTCCAACCCCTCTTGAGATATAACATGTAACCACTCTCTATCTCTTTGCCCTTTCACAACCAAAATTTAATAGCATCAATGCCCCTTATATGCAAGCTACTGTACCAAATTTCATTTCTTTATCTTCACTCCATCCCGAGATATTAAGCGAAATAGACGCCGACACACACATGGAATCTTTTTGTCTTTTTTTGGGTTCAGGAGATCTCAAAACATGAAGATTTGCAAAAAACTTGGAGGGTTAAATTTCACACAATTCCATTACTTTCCCTTGTTATGTATACATAATGGCTGGGAAAGTAAAATAAAACTTTATGTTAAATGATTTTATAATTTTTCTTTTCGCTCTCTGTGAATGAAACTCTCTTTACAACGTGCATCTCTTCCATTTGACTTTTGTATACATTTTTAGGAATTTGATACATCAAAAGTCAAGAGAGCCTGTATCATACTACAGATCTATTTGGTTAACTAAATGCATTTTATAACCTTAAGTAACACAGTAAATGTTTTAACTAAGGTAATTGACTAATTCAGTAAAATATCAAAAGAAAACAAATTAAAAATAAAGTGTTATGTAGGTTTTAAGATTAATTCATAGCTTTGTTAGTTACTATCTATTACATAAACTTCTTAGTTCTGAAATTCTTAAAGAATAGAATAATAATTAATTAATATAGTAATTCTGACTAGTTTTGAAAAGTTACAGCAAAATAAAGTAATAATAAATTGTTACTAGGTTAATCATGTATGAATTACATATAGAAGTAAGAAAAAATAATATATGTAAGTAATTTTATATCTGATGTAACAGGTTATAATTTATTTTGCAGCTGTCAAATATCAGTATTAAATAAATGTTGCCCAGTTTGGTCTTTGATTTTAATTTATAAAGTTTTGCCTGATAAAATAACATTATATTTTTACTTTTATAAGATTAATTTTTAATATTAATAAAATATACTTTACATACAAAAGTACAGTAAAAATAATAAAGAATTCTATGTTAAACAGGCAGCTGCAGGATATCAAATCGCATTACATATTTTTTTGGGCAATAAAGCCATTTGACATATTTTAATTATCATTTTTATTAGAGAAATTCATAACAAATATCATTTAGGTTATTATGTAATTTACAATATTTTAAACTTACTTCCCAGCCATAAAGAAGAGATTGGATTTCTTGAACGCGCACTGCATGTTCGTGTTTACGTTTCATGTCATTGATATGATAAGCTATTCCGGTCATCACGGAGAGCGCATTTTTTATGTCCGCATAACCTTCAGTTTCTTTGTCTGAATTTTTCACAATGTTCTAAATAACAACATTAAAAGAATTTAATCACTGTGAAGAAGTTAAAATATTTTTATAAATTTAAAAAAATTACCTGCAACAACAAGTGATATTTTAATATTCTTTGGACTGGTTTAAGTAAATAGGAACCTAGAGGTAGACTGTGATGAAGAGCTGTCTGTCGTTCCTGTTTATAAAAAATACAATTATTTTTTGTTAAATTTAAAATAAAATAGTTCATATTTTATACACAAATACTTTACTAATTACCCTACTAGTTAATCTGTTCCCCTATTAATTAATATTTTAAAAACAAACTTCTCAAATTTTACAAAATTATTATTCCAGATTTTATTTAGAATAAATTGTTTACTATCTGCACAAATTTTTTATAACAATTTTTACAAAATTCAAAAGTAACTTCTAAATATTTTTAAAATTTGATCAACCATAAATTGTAGTATTGCACAACTAGTAGAAATGCTTAATGTTGCACAAAAAAATATAATTAGCTTGTTTTAATAAACACAGGAACATTATAAACTCCAGACCTTTCCAAATAAAGCGGGTGGACCCTATTGTTAGTTAACAATCTGCATAAATTGGGTCGTGCCTTGATCTTCCTTTCTAAAAATTTTTTACTAATTTTGAAGATACTTTATCTCACATACAAACAAGAGATAGTACAAAGAGATTGCAAAATCTTATGCTTAGATTCAAAAACAATAACCCTAGTTTGAGACTGCTTACTTATTGCATGTCAACTCCAGACATGTTTCTTTGGGTGTAAAGGCAACAGATACACAGGCTAAGCAAACAATTAGTCCATTTTATTGGAACTTCTTTCCTCTGTTTTCTTTTTATTAATTTAAGAAATTAATATATATTATGTAAATACAATAAAAAATTTATTTATATTTTAATTACTACTACTTTAAGTTCTTGTGAAAAGATTATGTTATATATCCATAGTTTGGTATCATTAAAAATCAGTGCAGTTGGTTATTCAACAGAGATTGAATCTAGCAGAATTTTAAGATAGAAAATCATCAAAAGTCATTTGGAATTATGTTTCAAACTTATCATTTTGGAGTTTTCTTGGGCACAAACAAACAAAAATGAAACAAGCTGGTTTATTAATTTTATCAAGCTATTAATATTTGAAAGCCATTAAATTATTATGCTACTATGTAAATAATTCTATTATTAATAATTGCTCTCTGCTTGGATTGATAAAATATATTAGAATATTTAATTAATATGCTAATGAATCATCTTTAAAATCCAGACACTAACAACAGAAACTAGAACATAATGCTTTAGACTGAAAAACATAACTAAAGTTAGCTGTTGTACAGTACATTACATTGAGGAAGAATAATATAAATTTTTAAAACAATTTTAAACAAGATTTTAGATCAAATTTTCTTTATAAATATTTTATCTATATTAAAGATAAACAAATTGAAATAACCATCAAAAGATTTCAAGTAAATCAAATGAAGAGGTAAATTTAAGTACAAATGTAGTTCACATTTATTCAGTTTTTTAATCAAGATATTTTAATTTCTCTCAAATGAATTTGAGCTGAAAAACTTACAAGTTAATTATTTAATTTATTTCTGAAAACTATCTATATTTGGAAGTTTAAGAAATTTAGGAGTAGACATAAAAGTAACCGTAAGACTTTCTATAGTATAGGCCTATTATATATTTGAGGATAATTCCTAATAATCGTGCATGTTAAAAGACCATTCATCAATCATGTGCATAATTTTTGAGCCATTTTTGACCTCCCTCCTTTGTTTACAATGACAAACTTTTGACAAATGGATGGCCCTAAACTTTAATATTGAAAGCTACACAAAAAAACCCACAATTGAAATAATGATATCAGGAGATGCGAATACACTACTAATACATTAACCAGATTACGGTATATGAAAAAATATCATTAATGCTATTTAGCCTACTGCCATAAAAACTTTGATTATTGATTATTTATTATTATAGCTTATACTTCAATAAAGACAGATTATTGACAATTCAAATGAAAGGAGCTCTAAAAGTAATTTACGTTGAAGTATTCTTGATAAATCTTTCAAAAAATGCAATCAATCAAAAAACTTCAGCCATTTAAAAAAGTTCAGTCGTATTTAATCTCTTTCCCTTCAATATTTTCAAAGATTCAATCTATCTTCATCCTCAAAAGCTAAGTAAAAAGAATTATATGTCTTTTTAGTCTGTGAAGATAAAGATGAGTAACATCTTCAAAAATATTAAAAAAGATTAAATAGTTTTTACTTTAATATTCAATAAATAAAATTTTATTTTTTATACATTAGTTTTGTTTATGGATAAGGATATAGCTTATGAGAAGAATTTACAACTGGTGTTCTTCAGTTTGATTTTTCAATTAAGAAATCCAAAACCATAAAAAGAAAATTGCAAAAAACTGCGCTGCTGAACATAACCAAAACAAAAATATCTTTAATTTGACTACTGAATTTACAGTGTTTTCCTTGTTTAATCTTTTCTTCTTGTCTGTCCCAACAAATTTTAACTGGCTCTCACAACTTATATATTTCTAATTAACCGAAACTGTGTCTTTTTTATCTCCGAGGATTACGGTTTCTTATAATCTTATATTTCTCAATCGTATTAAAAAAATAACCGTTAATGCAAATCCAAAATATAATCATAGCTTTCATCATCGTCCTTCCTGTAATCAAAGAATATAGAAGACTAATTAGGACAATGCATTAAGAAGAACTTAGATAATATCAGTAATTAAATTTTTTTGAAATCATTGAAGCAAAATCATTTTCTTTTTTGCACACAATATCTCATTCCATCTAGTTTTTATGAACACAAGAACATATGAATTATAAGAATCATTTTGCATAATTCATTATACAGTAGAACCTCGATTATCCGGACTAATTGGGGATGAAGGTAGTCCGGATAAGGAAAAATCCGGATAATCGAAACAAATACTTTAATTTGTCTTTTAATGATAATACAACACGTTTTCTTTTCGATGACATNGAAATCCAAAACCATAAAAAGAAAATTGCAAAAAACTGCGCTGCTGAACATAACCAAAACAAAAATATCTTTAATTTGACTACTGAATTTACAGTGTTTTCCTTGTTTAATCTTTTCTTCTTGTCTGTCCCAACAAATTTTAACTGGCTCTCACAACTTATATATTTCTAATTAACCGAAACCGTGTCTTTTTTATCTCCGAGGATTACGGTTTCTTATAATCTTATATTTCTCAATCGTATTAAAAAAATAACCGTTAATGCAAATCCAAAATATAATCATAGCTTTCATCATCGTCCTTCCTGTAATCAAAGAATATAGAAGACTAATTAGGACAATGCATTAAGAAGAACTTAGATAATATCAGTAATTAAATTTTTTTGAAATCATTGAAGCAAAATCATTTTCTTTTTTGCACACAATATCTCATTCCATCTAGTTTTTATGAACACAAGAACATATGAATTATAAGAATCATTTTGCATAATTCATTATATAATATTTTATTATTATTATAACAGTTCTAAATATTATTAAATATCTTACATTTTTTCACTCACACAAATATAAACTGCTATTCAAGAACACACAATTAAGTTTAAAGACTCAAAGTTTTTTAAATTAACAGTATTTTTGCAATGTTTCTGCTTGATTAACTGCTTTAAAACTGAATTTTAAAAAGTTAAATTAGCAAAAGCTAATTTTTCTTTTTTTACTTCAATTTTGTTAAAATACATTTGATACGGTTTGTGTCCTTTTTTCAAAATTTTAAGGATCATCATAAATTTTGGACGCTTATACTTACTTTCAATACTTCGGCAGTTTCGGCATTCCTCATGGTATCGGTCAATATGGATACGGTCCTGAGAAATGAGCAAGAATTTAATTTATAGATATTACCATTATACAGAATTTATATATATATATAAAACAAATCAATTAAAAATTTTACTCACTTAGGATAATTAGTGCAATATTGAGTATATATTACAAATCCGCTAGAATTCTTTACAAAACATCTTGCCACCGCTACGGGATCTAAGCCACATTTTTCCAATTCGTCCAAAAATGTACTTGGAAAAAAAGATACAAGTTTATTCATTTGAGAAACTACAAAAAAATTAGATTAAATAACTTATCATTCAGACTATTTAGTAAATACAAGGCGATTCAAAAGATTGGTCTCAAAGTTTGAGAGCGTAAAGAGGGATCACAAAATGAGGGGCGCAATTTTTGAATAGGAACTCGCCAACTAATCCCAAGTCAATAAAGTCAAAGAGCTCTCCGGACTGGCCACCTCCAAATCAGTCCTTTCGGGTCTCATTTACGAGCGGATAACCGGGAAACACCGTCGGCCAGAATTCTCACAGAAGCAGATTTGATCGGGGAGACGCCGGGGATATTCGAGAGTTCGAGCGCACCAGTTTTCTTCAAAGACGGCACCGAGCAGGCGGGTGGCCAATTCGAACGGCTTTCCCACGGCACCGTTTCGTACGCCCCACATTTATATTTGTACACTTCATATATTTTTACTTTCCACGGCTCGTACCGACCCGGGATCGAGTCGGACTACACCAGTTTCTATTGGAAAGTTGCTCTATTTCAATCCCTCTATACACTCCCGAAATTTGAAACTCGCCTTTTAAATCACCAGGTATGAATCTATTATATCTTATTACAGTCTACAAGAACTAAACTAATTTTACAAACTAAACTACAGGAAAAAAGTAAAATTTGAGAAATAGAAATTATTTTCTTTTCAAAAAAATTTGCATTTTTATTAAAGAGAAACTCTACATCAATATTTGTTTTACTGGTATTATCTATTTATAGCTTGTTGAATAAGAAAACAAATAAATTATTCAATTAATTTAAAAAGCAGCTGTGTTAAGTCTTTAAAAATAAAGAAGACATCCGATCTTTTATTGAACAGAAGAGAGAAACAAGAATTAAGTATTCTTTCTTCAATGTTGTCCCAGCAAAATCAATTATTTGAGGAGACATCCAACTGTCGGTTCTCATTAATCATACGTCAGAAGCTTTCATTTTCTTTTTCCAGTTATCTCTTATCAATGCTACATTTATTATCGTTTTCTTAAATACATAATAACCTATTAAATTTATTATATTTGTATTTTTAGGCAATCGCGAGAAGTTTGTAGTGCACCAGTCAGTCTCTCGCTGGCGGGACAGAAAAATCTCGCTCAGGCATATATCTGCCACCGAATTTTTATCGCTTTACGCTGCGCTCGCTAGTTAGTTCCTTACCGCGTTTTCGGCGTTTGTACGATTCAGAAGTAGCCTTTCCGGCGAGAACGAGCGAGAAGAGAAACGATCAAAAGTTTCTTACAGAAATAAATTATGGCTTATCCCGAAATATGGGATAATCGAGTAAAAGTAATCTATATAGCGCTAGTAAACGTCGTCGTCGATCCGTTTTCTTTTTTGCACTCACCGACGAAAGGGGAACTTTTACGCTATCGCACGATAATGTTAGCGAGAGCGAGAAGCGAGAAATGCCATAATCGGACGTCGTAACGTTCTGTCGCTATCGTCCGCTAGTCGGAAGATTTTGGTACTCGAAGCATCGTTAATTTTTAACGGTGAGAGGTTAATTTACTTTTCGATTACGTAAATCGCGAGCAAATTTTATTTGTCGAAAATTTATCGGAGGCGAGAGGAGCGACTGGAAGCCTCATTAATTTGCATATATATTTACGATAAATATAGCAGTCCAAACAGGAAATGCTTTGGTACCTTTTTAAGAATATATAAGGTCTTCAAGGACTAACACATCTGTGTAATTGTGGACAAAGTATAAACATCCTGTTACAACAAAGTGTGAACCGTCAACACTCGCGCTCTTTTATTTTTAATGATACTTTCAATTTAAGAATTTGCTTGTTTTTCTTCCTTCTTTTTTAAACACCAAGCGTTTGGTAGAAAGCAATTTATTACGTTTGCAATTTAAGCATCATCCATAAACCGATGTCTGCAAATCTAGCATTGCACGTAAGCTTTACGTGGATGTGCGACTCTCTAGTATAAAAAAAAGATTCAAATACACTAAAATAACCCGCTTCCGACTACAGATTCCGGGTCGATTTTGCGCGGTTCTCCAATCCTGGGGCCATTTTCAAACTTTTCATTCACTAAATATCAAAAAATCCCCCCGGTTTGAATAGTTTTCGATTGAAATCAATCTTGGACAATAAAATTCTAAGTGCAGAGGAATGTGCGCGCTGTGGCGAGAAATCCTCTTGCGTTTTCACACAAATGTGGCCATAGAAAAATGTCTTTTGAGAACACGATAGGAAACGTAACACGCTTCACATGATCAAATATTGTTAAAATGTCTTCCTAGAGTAGAGTGTTATTAAATTTAATACTGCAATAAGCTACAGTTCATAATAGACCTACTTTATGCGAAGAGTATATCGTGCGTTAATCTTCACAAGAAAGAAAAAGCTGCAAAATGTGAAGATTTCCATAAAATATGCAAACGCTTAATGTTGCCGGTGAACCACGCCACCATTTTCTCGATCACGTGACGGAGGATTTATTCGGACACTGGCGTTTCCTCGGCTTAATTTGCAATCTCTCCGCGCTCCATTGCGGACGAAACCCGCTGTTAATGGGTAAAATTAAGGTCAATTGTATAACAGTAGTGTATTACAAGAAATGCCTAGTGTAATAAATTTGATACGTTCTCGTCAGCGTGTTGGATTCACACTACAGAATAGTTTTGAGTAGCCGACGAATCGCGTTGCAACCAGGTAAAATTGCCAAGTGTGAATCGGCAATTACTCGGCAACCGTTGCGGAGTAATCGCCGATTCACACTTGGCAAATTTTAAGTAAAAAGTATGAATCGAAACAAAGAAAATAAGCTTATTGATCTAGAATTATCAGTGTAAAAAATCAAAAATCTCGTTTTTTACTACGTAATACTAGAGAAAAATTAATTTTAATTAGTAACGGTAACGAGTATATTATTTAGAAACAAAACAATAGTTATACCTATTAAATTGATAAATATCTTCAATGTTGCTAAACAAATCAATCAGGTTCTGTTGACTAATCTTCGTTTCTTTGTGAGAAGAAATGTGATGTAGATAACCCTGTCAATTGATTTAATAAAAGAAAATATGTAAATTAGGCAATACATAAAAATATGAAATAAAAAATTAAAAAAATTCTTCCGAGGAAGAAAGTGCATATAAAATATTTAGGTCACATCATTTATGAAAACAGCTGGATTTCAATCCACGTAATATTCGCAAATCAAACAATTGCTCGACATTAACATACCAGTTAGCCTTGACGTTACACGTTAGCATCAATTAGTTTTTTATTTCTGCAATTTCGTCGGTAGCTAATGCTAATTTATTGTAAAATCATCACTCGTCCGGCAAATATTTTGACTTTAAATGTTTATTTATTATACACCAGACTAATTTACGCGTGACTTAAATGTAAATTGAAAGAATTTCATCTGTTTTGATGGACGAACAGACTTAATTTGTTATTTTTACAATACGAAAAACAAGGTTCTAAATCTCTATAAGGAAAACATCGTCATTAACTGCATTTACGTGCTTTTAATTTTACCGTATCACGCTTGATCTGTGCAGAAATTTATGTTTAAACGCCTTAAATCTCGCAACTCAAATTTCGTCCCCTTCTAATTAAGATAGAAGGGCGAAACTTCGAGGTTATACCTAAATCCAACGAGAATACATTTTAACCGTGTTTTTGAGGGTGGCACCACAGCAAAATATAGACTTTAAACATGGCGTGTGTGTGTGTGTGTGTGTAGACGCATTGTAATGATGAGATTTGGGGTGGGGACGTGAGGACGTCACCCCAAATCTGGAGAAACGTGAGCAATAAAAGCGTTTTCTTAAATTATTCACTTTAAATAAGTACATTTTATCAACTTTACGTCATTAAAATTAACTGTAGTACTTTCGAAGTTTTCCAAGTTCAAGTTTGTATTACAGTGTAAGCTTTAAGAGTCTAGACGCGCGTAATTCAATACGGCGAAAGTAATTAAAATTAGCTAATTGGCTTACAATTACTGCACAAGGTCTGTTTGGATTAAGCGGGTTTAAAAAGATAACGTAACTTTATAGAAATTTAAAAAATAACCTAAAACGAGTGTGTTCGTAAGCGAGCATTCGGGTTAGAAAAGGTGAAAGTTCACCCCTAAATCGACGATGAGAATTACAAATTTGTACTCCAAAAAATGGCAAACTGTGTTTTTGAAAGTCGATTATTTAATTTTAATGACGATACAAATGATAATTTATGTTGTTAAGTATCCGAAAATAGAATATACTCGAATATTAAACCGTACCTAATTTGTGATGGAATAATAATAAAAGAACAATACGGTACTTTCGCTTAACAATAGCTTAACAGGATGGTAATTTAGTAAAATTTTCTTCCTTTTAATCTTAAATGCTGTTAATCAATTTAAATTATAACACAGTAAAACCCCTACTTCGCGACCACGCGTTTCCGAGACAGACGGAGAGCGAAACCTCTCCTATGGAGAGGTTTCGCTCGATAAAACCTGTACTTTGCGACCATCCGATACTGGTCTTTATTAGGAGTTTCGCTGTATTTTTAAGAGTGCATTTTAAATTTGCACGAATAACTCGGGCATCCTTTAAATAAAGCGGCGCATCCTTTTTTTTCTGTAGTAATTTTATTGCCGATTTTATAATGATTAAACTAAAATTTTCAATATTTGTTTTCTGGGAAACGAGAGCTAATTATTAAAAATAAATAAATAAAAAAGCGAAAGCAAACAGCTGCATATTGGTTAACGAGTGTTTAAGTACTCGTCAAAGGAGAGAAAAATCTAAGTTTTAATGTGTTTATTTATCTCGTGCTTGTTTGTTTATCCGCGAAAGTTTAACATATGGCTACTTTTATACCTCCGAATGTAAATCAATAATCAAATTGAACCAATAAATGCGTACAAAAATAGAAGGTTTATGCCGTTAGACACGACACGCATCTGTCTAGAGACGTACTGTGACAAAGGGGTGTTTTTACGGGACGAAACGGCACAAAAAACAAATGGAAATTTTATCATATTTACCAATTAACCGTAATTGTCATTGTTCGTGATGGTCTTAATGTACGATTGTGTGGTTTCCAGCGTAATTATCCAAATTACGTCTCCATTACGACGACAGATACGACAATTTACAATAGAAATATTTCTTCTATTATGAAAAAAAGCATTGAATTTAACTCATTTAGATGCGTATAAAGATATTTAACGTCTGTGGGAAAAATCGGGGCTAACTTATGCTAGAGATTTATTTGTTAAGAAAAAAACAAAAGTAATTCGAGTGGATTTCACTTTTTATCTCTCTTCTTTCCTCTTAAATGTGCTTTTTTATAACAATTAACAATAGAATTACTCTAGTTAAAGACAATGCTAGTTTATTATCCAAATAGCATCTATCCCGCATGGCTCGGGATGATCCTAAAGTTAGTAGATAACTGCACCTGCCCTAAAAAAATGTCACATACACGGTTTCGAACAAAAGATAAAGTTCCGTATACAGCCTGAAGTATTAAAAATAAGGGGCTGCCACAACGGAAGGTGGGAGGAGGTTACGGAAACTCGGGTAAAATTTTCAAAACAAATGCCGACGTAGCCCACTCGGCCAGATAATTAAAACCCAACAACGGTTAGCGGATCCAGAAATCTTTAGTGGGGGTGCGGAAACGAAACAATACTCCCTACAAAACGCTTTACTACCCGAGGAGAGACTCGGAAGCGGGGTGCGGCTGCGCCTCGCCCACCCCTCTAACTCAGCCCCCGACCTTACATTTTTACGAAACGATACGCCTAACAACCAGAAGAAAACTCCGATCCTTTACGTTTCTACGCTCCACCCTTCTGCATTATCGATTTCAGATACGAGATAAAAAGCATCCACTTCCACCGATATTCCCGTCTCGAGTACACAAGCTTAACACATTGCAAAGCGCAACACTTTTCACACCATCGAACTTAAACTCGCTTTCGGTTAATTAAAATAATAAATCGTCTACTTTACCTTCCGATAAATAACTTATCGCATAAATTTGGGTGTAAAAAAGGGTCCTTTTTAGTAAAATTAATTTTTTTTTTTTTAATTTGCAAACCGATTGATTTCTCATCAAGTGGATAATTAAAGCGATGGCGACTACAGATTAATATTGATTTTTCATCAAATAGGCAGTTTTTTATGCCCATTAAATTTTTTAAATGATCAACTCGTAACGATTCTCGTCTAAATTTAGAGATAAATTATTTGTAATAAAGATAAATTACGAATAAATTGAATAAATAGATACGAACGAGTGTACGTGCGTAATGAATGTAGGTTACATTTACAATGTTTTTCGTTCATTAATTAATCCCCTCTGTAATGTTTTATAACAGAATTATTCGATACAATGACCGAAAGTAACAAACTGCACGCACGTTTAGCAAATTGTATCCGGTGTAATGGGGCTAACCGGCAATAAACTCGACAGAACCGCATCCTTCACACCGTACGATTCGCTATTGTGTGTTCTGTTTGTGATTTACTACGTAATCATCATCATCATCGACCGGCTTCTTACGGATGCCGTCACCCGCTTTCGGGATTTGCCAGAAAGAGGGAATACGCTCCGCATTTCGTGTATACAAATACTCGCGCATTTCCTTTTAGATACGCAAGTATTTGTATACGCGAGTATGTAAAAGAAAATGGCCAGCAACCAAAAACAATATACAGAGTGTAAATACAGCTAGGCATTCGAGATTTACCGTAATCCCACTATTACCACATACTGTATCGTATCCAATCGGAGTAACCGCAAAGGATCTATCGGAATGCATTATATTGGCTTATAGGGCGCGTGATCTATTATTAAACTGGAAAATAATCGATTTTCGACGATATCTCACATCTATCATCTCGAAGTTTCGAAGAAATTGCTTTGATATCGATTCTTTTGGCTGGCGATCAATCACGCCCGCGGGACGATGATTTCGAGATTCGAAAGTTGGAGATAACAAGTAACAAAAAAAAAAAAAAAGAGATTGTATATATATCAGGAAGGTTTCAGAAGTTCGTTGACAAGTTTTAGAAGCAAACAGTTAAGAAAAAACACTGATCTTCTGCCAAATATTTCTAGGAAGAGAGTCGGTTGCTGGCATTCCGTCGCCCCACTAACACACTGGCTAAGATGGTACATCGTTTAAGGTCGACAACCCTGTCATAAATTGCAAACTTTCCACGGGAAAAATCAATGTCGACGGCTATTTTATCCAATAAGAAAATTACTTTTTCATTTCGTTTCGTGAAAATGTAATTCGCCAAGTGCAAAAAGCACTTTTTTTTTATCTACGAAAACCTGCTTTATAAACCGCCATTTTGCTTGTTATGTTTTATAAAATTCTACAACGTAATTGGTTAAATTTTTTTAAACAGTCGCTCCATTGGTCGTTAATCGAAATTCTAATCCGTCCGCTCGATTGGCGATTAATTTAAATTCAAAACGGGATGCGCGATTGGTCACGGTTTTTTTAAATCGAGCCGAACCATTGGTTTGGTTATTAGGGTTCGAATTCGGGCGCCTGATTAAATAATTAAAAATAATAATAATAATAATGCTTAAACTTGGTTATTTTGTATAAAGCATTAAAAGTTTCGAAATTAAGAATGATTTTAATTTGAGCTTAAATTTGTTGTAAAGACGAGGAAAGAGAATACAAAATTTACAGAAACTCGCATTTTTCGTGTTTTTTTCGACGAAAAAAAGAACTGTATGAATATTTATGCACTATTTATGAAATATAGTTTTTAAGAGTGAAATTTAACTAGGATCCTTAATAATCCGCAGACCACTTTAAAAGAGGGAAGGGCACTCTTAACCTTAATTATGCATTTTGCTATCCAATTACTTCGATGAAAAGGAATAGAATTAAAAAAGAAAAATAAAAAAATGGGACAGTATTTATGTCAAAGGTCACGATCATCTTAAAAGATATCCTCTTCTTGAATAACTTTTCGGCGCGCAAACTGCTGCGAGTCCCCATATTTTCTACCAAAAAAAAACTGCCCTCGCCGCTTAACGTGTAGTCGTACACGTACTTGGCCATGCGCCAGTTATCAGCTTTTATATCGTAACAATCTGAAACCCCGTGTAACCCAATCACGGACGTCGGTGTAACTCCTTACTTGTAACATATTACACCCACGTTTAACGTTACCTTCTTTAAAGTAACGATCCGCGGCATCGTCACTTTTCAAAAAAAACCTCCTCCGGGCAAAAATGGGCGCATTTAAAGCGAAAAAACGAAGTATCTGACACAAAGAATATCAGAAAACACTAAAAAAAATGTGTTCTTTTTCGGATTTTTTTTGAAAGTACGAGAAACAATGGCTAGTTTCTAAAAACAGCGCGGGTTCTAGTTGTGTTCTGCGCGTGTTTTTTGTATGTAGAGCAGAATATCAACGTTATCGATCGGTCGTCGAAGGGCACGTAAGCCATGTCGGTACTATAAATTAAAATATTGCGTCGTTGCTATTTTTGTATGGTGTTTTAGTAACATAATCGAGGTTACAGTTTCGTGTCAGAATAAAACATATTTTGTTGCTCTCGCTGCCGGTTACCTCTGTTCGATTACTGAAGTAAGTAACGATGTAAGTTCTTTTTCGATAGAACTATTAGCTGGCAGCAACTTGGTGGAAAGTAATGAAAGATTGCGAAAATGGAAATCGATATTTCTGTAATTTCCCTCGCGCTCTACCTTTCTAGCTCGTATCTATTTGGGCCATCCGTTGCGCCTAATAAATTCCGAGTACCGTTCTTAAGTTATGCAACCTACGATGGTAGAATGTTCTTATTGAAAATTTAAATTTGTGATGAAGGAGGAACAGAGTATAATTGCCAGAAAGATAAACTGGGTTTAGGAGAAACGCTTAAAATGATGGAAGGGATAGAAGCTGGAAAATGTGGATGAAGAATGCACACAGCTGAAGCGTTAGGAAAGGGCAGCCGAAGGAGAACCCGCTAAGAGCAAAGTACGGTACTTACACCGCCACATAAAGCGAGCACTCGCCACACAGACAAAACACAAATGACGAACAAAAATGCCCATTCCAACTTATTTGAACTCATTACACAATAGTGAATGAAATTTATTACGTTTACAATTCGTAACGACGTATTCTTCATTCGGCTAACATTAAATTTCCATTAAACGTGCCGAATTCTTTAGAATATTTTAATTAACATTAATTAATGAACATTAACTTCTTATTTCGGCGTTAACGGAATTATTAAGAACATAAAAAGCTAATTAAATGTTCATTATCATGCGAGGTAAATGAATTGCGTACGTTGGTCGAGTAATTTTTTTGACATTAGCCTAAATATCGCGTCCGTGAATGTGTCACATTTGTTGTTATGTAGTGTTTCCGACAAAGAAATGCTGAAAATAATTGTTCACTTCCCTGCGTTTTTATGAATCTTTGGAAAAATGAGTGCAGAAACCAACTGTGGTTACCCTCTACTTTTTTTTTATAACTGAACAGCGTACGGTTAGTGTCAACGGGAGTATTTCTTAAGCTTCACTGATTAACCTAACAATACCATGATGAGTCATACAAGGACTGGTTTGACAGGCGAGAGAGAGAGAGAGAATCTATTGATGAAAAAAAACTAGATCTTATTCTCAATGAATCTTTAACTCTTTTGAATTATAAACCCACCTGAATGATTTGATTGAGATCACGTACGTAAGTCCTCTCGGTTTCGACTATTTCTAGTAAAACTCTGTCAATGTGACTTAAATTTGGATCGCACCACTTGGCTCTACCCATCTGCTGATTTGGAGTTGAGTTATTAGTCTGGGACCTACTCCCGTCCTCGCTAAATTCGTCGTCTTCTAGACTCTCTATACTGGCCAGATAAGACTTTTTGACATCGTTTCTGGGTAGGGAGGAGGAAGACGACGATGACGACGACGATACAGAACTCGTACTTAAGGGCCTCTTCTTTTCGTGATAGTGACCCGCTCTCGGATCCGAATAGCACCTGGTATCTCGTACTCCACTTTTATCTCTCATGGTTACGATTCTGGGTGGATGTTCGACTTTCTCCGCCTTATTTTTGGCAAGTAAACTGTCATACATGTCTAGAAGTACGGACGCTATGTCCACCGACGTACCTGAAAAAAACAACACGGATTCTTGTAAAAATTTTAAATTTAAATCCAAATAAAAAGGAATCGGTAAACCGAAGAAAGAAAAGATGTGTTCTGGCAAAGATCCAATGTTTCTAATTATAGAACACCAGAAAAGGGGAGTGAAGCAAGTTTATGATGTCGGTTAGTCCCCCGCATTAGTTTTGAAATTACTCACTATGGGTGTCCGAACGTTATACATTTTAGTTTAATATCCCTTTCCAAAAATCTTTAAATTATCAAGAAATTTTCCCCCGTAGATATAATAAAACTCGGCTCCAAAAAAGGGGAGAAAAAAACTAGAGTAACCAACATTAGGAAGTCGAGTCTCGGGTTAGCGACCTTGTTCGGTTTGTTTTTACAAAAACCAGGCATGGCAATCAACGAGTGAGTCAGGTTTAGCCTCAAGCCAGGTGTCTCCGAAAATCTGAAGGTCATCTGATGTGGCGGACAGGTGTTGTCTCCAAGGTTGAAGGGAAAGAAAGAGAGGAGAACGAACAACACACACCGTCGGACCAAATCTTGTAATGGAAAAATATGTTACCCATCGAAGTTTAGATGATTACAAAGGGTGTCCTATCTATTCATTTGATATTTAAATGGCTCAATAAAGTTGAAAAGTAATTCTTTTCGGATGAAATTCGGCTTAAATATTTCTTGTTTTTAAAGCATAAAACCTATCATCTGTGCCACGACTCATTAACTTTATACGCGGAAATTTTCGTTGAAAAACTATTCGTTAAATCCAAAAAAAGTTTTGAAAACTTTCCTGCGTTATTTATTCATTGAAAAGCTTTAAAAAAATTATTTCTCAACTTTTCTAGCTGAAAACAGATACTTAAATCAATAAATCAGAGAGTTGCGAGATAATTTACGTAAAGCTAGAACTTAAATTTCAAGATATTAAAGTTTATAAACAAGTATTTCGTAGGAAAGATCCTTAAAATACGCCGATTAATAGTAACTTGCCCCGTTAATGAATGCAGACTTTCAATTATAATATTTTTAGATCCGAAATACAATCTTAGAAATGAGCAAACAAATACATCATTAACAACAATAAACGTTTATGTAGTCACATGACAGAATTTTATAACTGCCTACTTACACTGCCTTAGGAAAAACGTCATTTACAACCTACATCTAATGACATACCCTTTAAAGTTCATTCTCAAATAAGGAAAACGAATAGACATTTTGAGGAAAGTAAACTTCGTATTCTAACAAAACAACTTTTTTGATACAGAATAGAAGATTGGTAGAAACAAGGAGAGAGCGTCTTACCTCTGTCTCATGCTTCCAACTAATGTGGATAGCCAGAGGTGAGTTTCTGTAAGGCACTACCCAATTATCATACAGCTGACGGTCACCATCTGCCCCACTCCGGTAGATAAAAGACGAATGGCAGCTGACACGTGAAAAGAAGGGAAAAAAGGGCCAAACAGGGCAAGTGCATCACCTGCCTTTAAATTCGTACGGACACGTGGCTGTCTCGTGCATACCTTTTCTTCTTCCTCACTTATCGGGCAGGTGTGACACTGTCTCTAACCGAAGACCATAATTAAATCCCTTTCTGCTACCCGGGAAAATATTTTTTTGTGCAAAGCAACAGCACGTTTTCCATAGCCCCGAGATAAGTTAACGAAAGAAAAAAATTGCAAAATGCGCTTCCCTTTAGGTAGAATCTCTTCGAGGGTATTAAGGGAGGGTCTCCGACTTTTTCTACAAGTTCGAGTAAAAATTTTATTGCTTTGATCCGTGCAAATTTCGTTTTCCTCTTCTAAACTTCGCACCAGGAAAATATTTCAAGGCCATCCGTCGACTTCATGACACTTTCTAATATGGAATCCTGTATGGTCAACTGCTGTATAGCCTACGTCCTTCGGTCCCGACTACAGTAGACACGCAGTCTGTTAGACCAATTAACATGAAATTAATACCTTCTAAACGGAAATCATAAAGTAAGTTTCGGAATTACAAATTTGGTAAGAGGATCCAAAGACCCTCTTTTTTGCACGATCCTTCTTGTCTTCCATATATCTTAGATATATGGTTTCTTTAAGTTAAATCTTGTATGACCAACCTTATCCTTCCAAAAGGCATTAGGATTTTTGATACAGGAAGCAAAGTTTATACATAATTTAGTTGCAAAAATACAAGTTTTTACGGTAATACTTTTGCAACTGAAGACCTAATTCAAATTTGTGTAGGTTCTCGTTCACCTAAATTTGCATTTTCCTTAAGAAATTAGCGCAGGAACTAAATTTATATCGAGATTTATAAGTTTTCTATCCCGCAACATTATCCAAAATAATTAAAATTCAAATTTTTTCTGTAATTTGCATGATGCGGATCCTCATTCCAACTCGAGTAACTACTTTTCAAACCTGTAGATCAAGCATAAATTTAAACTTGTTACCACAAAAGAACGAAAAGGTAATTTTCAGCTAATGAAACGACGTCTTTTAGTTTCAAAAAACGTGCAAACCCAAATTTTACAATAAATTAGAACAAACACTTTCCTACCTGATGTCGATTTTTCGCAAAAGCTGCAAAATCGTCATCACAACGCGAGAAAACACGCAAACATGCAGAACAACTGGGCATTTTCTGTCAACCGGTTGAAACTCCACCTAGACAGAGTACAGGTGTGTTGTCGTCACACAACGAAACGTGTACAAAAATTATCGTCATTTCGATTTTCGAAAATTCTTCGATTGATTTTTCAAACGCGCAAAATGCCAGGAAAGGAACACGATATGCCCTCATATATTGCGTCATCGGGGATTTATTAGAAGAGTACACAGTTCGATCGTCGCGGCTAAACAGATTTGTCACTTTTTACGATGTCATCAGAATGCCTTGACGTCAAACACTCTTCTTCCAAGTATTAATAAGGTGGGTCGCCCGGGTATAACAAAAACAAACATATCTTCGTACAAATAAGCTCGGGAATGTAACCCACGCACATACTTAAGACAATTAAATCAAGCGGAAAACCATTTCCAAATTTAAAATTCCAACAGCCAATCGTGGCACGTTAAAAATGAAATTAGCCAATAAACGAATTGTTTAAAACGCAAATCTGAAAGTATTCGTTGTCTATTGGTCGATTAAGATTTGAAACTAACCAATACACGGGGGGATCGTCGAAATTTGAATTTTTGTCTCATTTATTGGTTAATTTTAAATTTGAAACTAACCAATAAACGAACGAATGATTAAATATACTGTACAGTACATTGAAATTCGTTTATTGGTTAATTAAAAATTTCAAATTTTAAACTCATCAATAAGGGAGTTTTAAACACATAATCGGCACTCTGTTTACGGAACAGGAAGGAACGATTCTAAATCTTTCATTTAGCTAACCGTATTCAAAAATGTAAATGCGAGCATTGTTCGAATATCTTTGTAACAGGTGTAACACGTAAAGATGCTTGCAAGAGGCGTGGTAAGCGTTGCAACTAGGTTACTGAGAACACGATTTTTAAGTAAACTAGCTTTACACCTGCCTGTAAATAAAAATAATTTGAAAAAGGCAAAATACTGGTTTTATAAACTTTTTCAAAGCTGAAAATCAACCCTTTATGAAAATCACAAAGCAATAAATAAATTTTCGTCGACATCTCATGAATTTTATACGCGGTGTCTCGCGACCATTGTCTATAAATAGTGCTGTTCTCAGCGACTAAGCACATGTACTGCGGTAGTAGTAGTAATTATTGTAGCAGCAGCGATAGTAGTAGTTTCGATGCGGATAACTTAACTAGGCGTTCAACGATAAAGCTCTGTCATTAAAACACTATTGATCCTGTTAACGGCATCATTTATACATTACGTAATTACAATCGACTTTGCCTGTAATCGTAAGTAGGCTATTGTTAAACGCAATTAAAAAATTTGCACTCGACACTTCGATAATATTAAAAAATTAACTTTTAAACACAATTAATGAAGTATCATTCACAGATTAAGTATATTCTTTCGTATATTTTGTTCTTACTGTTTTGTACATTTTATACAGTAATTTTTCTTCAAAACGGGTGGAGTAATGCTATTAATTCGTTCGTATATTTTTCCAACCAGTAGCTCTCGACCTACTTTATTAGCAAACATAACGCGAACAAATTAAACAGGTTGGAATCTCAACGAATCCAAGTTTAAAGCGCGCTATGACCAATTCCAAAGATTTTTTAGAACTATTCTAAAAAGATAATGATGAATTTATTAAATTATTAAAGTAATTAAAATGCATTTAACACACGTTATGACAGAAAACAGAGAATACACTTTAAATTTCTGGAAAATTCACATACAAAAGGAGTGAGATCGAATGGAGGACTTTTAGAGATTTCAGGCAAGAAGCTACTTTCTATTTATAACTTAAAATATATGGACCATCCTTCTTATATATATTTTTTTTATTTGCAGAAGGTACTATAAAAAATATTACTCAAATAATTTCGCAGTCACGAATGAAGAACAAATATTTTATTTTCCCGAAGCATCTCCGGAACGTCGTGGATAGTTGTGCGCGCAGTATCGTAAAAGTATTCAATGTTCACCCGATCGATACCCAGAAGTAAATGGTATTCTTTAACCGTTTTCACTCCCCGGTGACAAACTACCCAGAGAATATAATAACCAGAATAGAAATGCTCCTGTTAGAAAAAAAAATTTCCAAATAATCTTTCAACTTTGGCTTACTGTTTTAAACAGATTGCATCAACCAGTTTCTGATGCATTCCCGCTTTTAATAGTACCAATTTCGTGTTCGTAAACTTGGGACGTAGCTTAATTTTTTTAAAGCGATTCGATTAACCTCCCTTACAACGTTTCTCAACTGGTGAGCCGCGAACTACTCGATTAGTAGAAATTAATAAGAAACTGTTAGGAGGTTGGATAATGAGCGCGCGAGATCGAATGGAATTTTCAGATTTAAATGAAGCATTCTTTAACTTGATTTCTTAAAAGCACGCTTGCTTTCCCAAGTTAATTACGAGACCAGAAGGCATTAAGATGGCGAACGAACGGTTTTGTAAATCGATTTTACGTTTCTAACCAGCAATTATGAGGCTAACGTAAAAAAACTTCTTTTGACAATATTATCTTCGACATAAAAACTGTTCGATGTGTGATTCATTTGAGAATCTTTGCGTGATCTAAACTATGCCAAAAAAACCTATCCCAATTGTTTGCTCGTATGTAATTAACAACAATTTGGAATTAATTAAACTGTACTTCAAAGCTGTTAACGACCATGCAATTCAACATTAATCAACCGAGTGATGAGAAGTAATGCGATTGACCCTCTCATACAGTTTCCCAACAGATAGACCGCGATCGCCTTCAATAATAAACATCAACAGAAACACAGTTAAGAGGTTGGGCAAGTTAACTGCGATCCAGAACACCGAACTCGGAGCCATTAGGAGTTTTTCTAGGACAGAAGAGACAAACCTTTTACGACACTCCCGACGCAGCGGGGGTGCTAAACGAATAATTATCGAGCGAAAAACGCGCGATCATTCATCAGAATCTATAAATAGAAGCAATGAATTAAGCTCCAAACGTTGGGAAAAGATTACGAAATCGCTCTCGATGGCCAGGGTAACCTTTACAGATTTCTATCGGGCCGGAAATCGGATTAAGTCACGTGACCCGAATGACGCAAAACGTGCTCCCCCCTTCGTCCCGAAGCCCAAAAAATATAGTTTTAACTACAGCGAAAGAAGAGATCGCGTTACGATCGCGCCGTCGTTAATTATCGCTTCGATGCAAATGGCAAATTCGAAAGGGGTGGAATAGGAGCAGCGGCAGAAAAGAAGGATGCGAGTGGGCATGCCCCGTGATATCATTTCGTCAAGTTAAACTTGTTAAAACATTTTGTTAATTTAACCGAACGGAATCGTCTCCACTCTCGGGGAGTGACGTCACTACGCCTATTGGCTTAACAAGAGAGAGAGCAGTCCACTTCGATAGTCGCGGTCATTGTACCGAACGAGAGGGGGAAACAAAATGATGTATAAAAGAAAACACAGCGCGAGCGAAAGCCGTGAAGGAATGTGTATTATTGATGAAATCATTATTTTATTCATTATAAAATACATTTTGAGGTATTGTTCTAATCTTGTTTCTTTGGCTGCGTAAATTTTAAAATCATAACAAAAATAAGCAATCACCATCGGCCAATCAAATTCAATTAATTTCAAATTTAAGCGCTCCGATTGGTTATTTATTGTAATAAAAAATTAAAGTATTAATCGATCAATCGATACTTGTTAAAATGTTTAAATTATTTTTATTAAATTATAACGATTAAAAACAAACCGTATAATCGATATATCGATCGCGTTTGGTTAAAACAATAAAAAAAACTACGAATATTTTCCGTAACGAGTCGCGCGATTGGTCAGTTTTTAACTCAAATACATTATTTAAAAGCGACACCTGCATCGAATTGTTATTTGTTGCCGATTAATATAAAAATTGTTAATAAATTTTAATTAATAAATAATAATAAAGGAAAGTTTATAATTTAAAATTCAATTAATTAGCAATATTTTAATTAAAAACTTCGCTTATTGGTCGATATCCGAAAATCGTCAGCAAATTTTTTTCTCGCATATCGTCGCTATCGATCGGCCATAACTTAAAGGACTTTCTCTTTGCAAAAGAATGAAGTCTAGTAGATGATTTCGTCTTTCCTGACCCCGTAGGGGTCAACACAATTGATCGAATCAGAGAAAGGAACAGACAATTTTCGGAAACGATCTTTCACTCTCCCGTGTCATAACGATCCCCGGTTGGTTCCAATAAGTCTTTAAGAGGGGAAGAAACAGGCGCGAACTTAACCATAATCATAGACATCAGATTAGAAATTTATCAAATAAAAATTTTCCGATTAAAAACGAGAATAACAACGTCATACACGAAAGGGGGTCGGATAACGCACGTGATAGACGATATTTGTTTACGCTCGTGCCGAGATAAAAAATAAATAAATACTTTTTTCCCCCTTACATAAACAGAGATGGAATTTATTATTATTACTTTTAAGAAAAACAACATGGCGTATTTACCCGCGGGTTAAATTCCATATTAATTTAAAGGAACTCACCGAAAAACTCTTCCCATTTTAGAGAGTCCGAATTGAGATCCTCTTGGTGCTCTTGCCACTGAGTGGGATGTCCCATTTTTCCCTCCTCCTTGTTCTTCGGCGTGTTTTATCAATAAATTATCTAAGAATTATTTGAAAATCTGAACAATACTAATCAGTTGACGAACGAGAGGGCGTGGTTAACGTTAATTTTAACGTTAACGCACGCGATGGTGGCAAACATCGCTCAAAAGTTAAATCCTGTCGTTATCGGATGCCAACTTTCCTTTCGAGTGGGCAAGATGAACTGTTCGACAATCCGTCTACTGCGCACAATCCAATACGCACGTGCAGTCTATTGTCGCCGAGGGGGTTGCCGCTCTTACGCCAGGAGCGCCGATTATCCTTGAACATTAATAAAGATCTCGCGAATGACGTAAACATTACGAATGTTTGACGCCGATATTTATATATGTTTAGTCTTATTTTTAATTAATCATAATCTATCTATTGGCTCTTCATTAAAAAAAACGAGTAAATTAGCCAATCTCGATTTAAGTTTGGATATAGTAAACAGAGGCTTAACTAATCTCGGAATTAACATTTGTATCGGGATTAAAGCTTTAAAACAGAGCCGGATAATGGAGATTTTCGTAAAAACGGGGACAAACGCTCCGCTTTAATATACTAGATCCAAATAGAAGCCGGATAATCGAGATATTCGTTCTGATTTAATTATCTTTTCCTTTTAATAGAATCTTTAAACACTTTAAAACTCGATTATCCGGCTTCAAACTTTGATTTAATATATAGAAACGGTGCATAAATAGTATAAAAATTATAAATTAATCGTGTTCCCGTAACCGATTACGAGTCAAAGTGCTGGATAATCGAATCGATTTAGGACATTTACTAAACTATATAATGCAGTCGACCCGTGAACAACGGCCATTGACGGGAACCAAGAAATGGACGCTGTTCGGAGGTTATTTTGTATGCATTGTAGTTTAAAAAAGTTTCTGAAAAACAAAAAAAAATGGCCGCAGTAGCTATAGGTTTTCGGGTACTATTTACACAGTTGTTTGTCGTTTTATTTATTATTCTCGCGACTTATTAACCGACAGTTTACGAGTTAAATAATGGAAACTCGGAGTCGTTCTATACAAATAGTGTTCTAGATCATTAACCAATTGTTTCTTTGTTCTGTGACGAATTTGCATGTAAATGAGAACGTAAAAGTTACTCGAGCGTATTCGCTTCAAACTTCCATTCAACAACTTTTATGAAAGAGTTCAAAGCACGCGAATTCAAACCCATTTTTTGGCAGTCTTTCCCGCGTGTAGAAAGACTCCACACTATCAAAAGGTGAGTCGCGATCTACCGTAGAAACGTGAAAAATCTGATGTGCTTAATTTTTCAATTTGTAGATCGCGATCTACTCGTTGATAAATTGAAAGCATCGGTTTAAAATTGGTACGCTCTTTAATATATTAAAACAGCGCTTAGTAATTTTGTAATGCTTTACTATTATTCGAGAGAGATTATTTTCTCGACCGATATCTCGCGATCTAACGCTTAGAACTCGTTTTAAAAGTAATACAATTTTATATTTGTCGAGTCGAACTTTTACTTCTCAACCGGCAAGCCGCGGCCTATTAGTTGAGAAGTTGGAAAAGAAAACTTCTGTTTTTTTTTCTTACTTTCCAAATTTAGATTGAAAGTCGTTTTGTTTATATTTCAATAATACAAAATTTTGTAAGTAAATGCTAATAAAACAGTTTTTCTGTCGATATACGGGATTATACCCGCAAGCAATTAGTTTATTGGAGTTTTTGTGCGCCATTTGTAAAAATTGTAAGCGTGTTTAAAGCTAGTACAAACAGTTTTTATAGAAATAATAAGTGTCAAAGATGGATTCCCCACTTCCCAAAAGACAGGTGAGGTCGTTGAAAAGTCTAAGAAGTGAATCATCTTCCGGTCCAGGAATAGTTTCACCCCACGATGAAAAGTATACCCATTCTTAACGCGCGAGTCGCTCTTCCTCTCACGAACAGAACTACAGTTTTATTAATAAACACGGCTCAAAAAACAAGAAAAATTTGATTAAAATATGTGTCCGTGCTGCCATCTGAGGGTAGGAATTAATGATATACAAGTACGTGACGACTTACAGTTAAGCACAATTCATTGAGAGTTCTCATTATTCGAGTCACGTTCGCTCTTTACTAGTCGGGACGAGACTTGTACCCATTAACCAGGCATAATTGGGCGAGTGGCACGAGTTTTGTATCGGTTATATGCGACAGGTTTACGCGACAACGACCCTGCGCGCGTTTTTTTCGAAAGATTGATCGCGCGATCGACTTGTTGCAACACTACACCAGCCACTGTTACGTTACCATTCTCTAGAGAAATGTGCTCTTGATAACCGGAAATTTAAATTTAAAAAAAGTAGTAGTGTGCTGCAGCAGCAGCAGTTAAATTATTATGCAACGGATCCAGCTTCTGTTACACGCGGTGTCAGGGCACAAGTATCCCTTTGTTTATGAACTGTTCTGTAACGCACGTGTATCGTCCCGTACGGCTACGTGATTGGCGTATCTGTTTCGTTCGTAATTAACGGGCAAAAAATGCGTATTAAACGGTTTACTTATACCGCAATAACGAGAAAGAAAACCAAAAAATATTCGCCTCACCCACGTCATCGTCTTGTCACGTGCCTCGAGCTGTTCCTGCTTCCTGGTTTGGGAGTTCTGTACCCCGTGTCTGCGGTAGCGTTATAGCGAGTATATTACGATTATTATAAAATTACGAATAAAAATTCGGACTGTTAAGAAAACTCGTGAGAAGAAAGGGGAAAGTATAATGTCTGTGTATAGGAGCCACATAAATTTGTCACCAATTCAATAAAGGAGGGACTATTTTTACAAAAAGGAAAAAAAGGGGCTCTTCCCCTACCCCAGCTTAGCCTACATTCCTTCTCTATTTTCTATGTCACAAAAGAAACTACCGGCTTACCAATACGTCCAGACATACTAAACGTACTCTTTTTTTTTGAAGATTTTTTTATTACGAAACGTGTTTAAACGTGACCTTGATATCAATATATCTTCCAAACGGTATTTTCTGCTACACTTTTCCACTTACCAAGTGTTAAATTCGAGAAAACAATCGTTCTTTAACTGACATCCGGCTATTGTTATTCTTTTCGCACACAAAAAGGGATACCGTCCAACGAAAAACAAAGAAAAACTTTCGATTTTTCGAGTAGAAATTCAAAATGTCGATGGAAGAAAGGAACCAGCTGTTTAGCAGATTCTCTTTTATCTATGCTACAGCCTATATATAGCACTTCCCAAACGATATTTTGGGGTTTTTGTGGGCCCACTCTCGATAAAATAGACACGGTTAATGCAGTTCGTAAGTAGTTCGAAAGTGAACGACTCGCGATTCCGAAAAAAACACCAGTGATGTTGTTTTTGGACGTAAAAAAAGCAAAAGAAAACAAAAAACTACTTACGAAGAAACAAAAGAAATTGTGTCGATAACCCGCTTTTTTAGCGTCATTTCTTTTAAATTTTTAAGAAAAGAAATCGAATTTAAATGCTGGAAATTAACGAAATTAAACAGCGGAGAAATAAACTTCCGATTATTTTTCAAGTATTTTTATCATTCTATATCAAACTATGACATCAGCGATAAAGCAAAAATTTCTAAATTAAAAAGACGATAATCTATAAATTTAATTATTTAAAAATGAAAAAAATTCTCGAAAGAAAATAATGTATATGCAGTATTAATAATATTTTTGGCAGTTATTAAAAATAGCAACACTTCTAACATTACAACGTTCGCATCTAGTGTTGGAATTCTAATGAATGGAATGAGAGTACCACTCGAAATTTCAACAATACACTTTTTGTTTTTTGTCATTTTTAACTTTAAAATTAAGTTTTAAATTGTTTGAATTTTTTTGACAAACATCAAAAGAACTCACCGACATTTGTGGTGGTAACATCTCGACACATGGCATCCTATTAGTCTACATGTCCTCGAGTGGAATGAACCAAAACTCGACTCATTGATGTTGCCAAGGGTGATTTTATAAACCTGTTTCACTGTTTTGCCTTCCTACCTTCTGTATTAAAAGTTCCGTCCTTCCGATACCGACATTAAGGGTCAAAGTTCAATAGAGGAAACGGCACACTCATCAATTATCCCGGCTTCGAAAATAAGCAATTAGGCGAAAACTTTGCCGTCGTAAATAATACGAACGGTCAAAACTCAATTAAACACCTCAAATGCAGTTATACGCCATTACGCCGTGTTTTTTTTTTTAAACGTGAAAAGTAAAATAAGATTAATGTTTAATTCATAAATTTAGAAAGTAGGTCTCATAAGAATCGGGTCGTCGAAAATTATACGAATCAAAATATATAGAAATTTATGATGGAGGTTATAATTTATGGACTTTGGACGAGTATTCGTTACCTGTTTATCAATGTCTAGAAAATGCAGGTACGTGTTTGAACGATTACTTTTCGTGGCACTTCAATTTTTTCGCCTTTTTTAAACTTTTTAAATATATTACAAACTAAAAACCTGTTTTCGGTATCGCATCGTAATTATAAAACTCAACCCCTGAAAAAACGTGTTAGAAAGTAACACGTTTTTTCCGGAGAGAAAGTAATCGAGTTCCTTACTTTGCATTGTGTTACCTTAACACGTCACTTACCTGAAAACGTGTTAAATTCATCCGAAAATAATCAAGTCGGTCCAAATATTTTCCATATCAGACGTAAGAAAAACAACGCTAAACGATCCACGACGGCCATGTCTTTCGACAGTTAAAACGTCACACGTGAAATCATCGAATTTAACAATGACGCCATTGAAACAGTTACTTCTTCTTTTATCCAATTAAATAATGAAACGTTAAAAAAAAGGTCGAGGTCTACAAATTGAACTGTTTAAAATATTATTTAGATATATTTACGTATCAAGATTTACATTTAGGTAGGGGTCGAAGGGGGTAGGAAATTTGTTTATCCGTTTTGAAATATTTCATTTATCGTCATCGACTTATGTACGAAGCTCTTAAAATATTTTCTTCTTAACTCACGTGTTTATTAAATAAGATTAAATTAAGGTCACTTCTCCGACAGATTTTTCGGTTTGTTTAACACTTAACGCGTATTTAAAGGGGCAAGACGACGAGTACCCAGCCACTGTCAGTTACGCCTTTTTAAAATGTGTGGTTTGGTTAATAACAAATAATAATAGAAAATAATTAGTTACTTCCCATCCCTTATCGAAATTACACACATTTTTAAAAAATGTGTAGCTTAGAATATTAGATGAACACTTAAAGTGCTCGACGTGCTCGTTACAAGGATCTGGAATAATTTGAATGATGTGCGTCATCCGATACAGGAACAGGAACTGCAACACTCGAAAGATAAAAATGGCGATATTAATTTTAATATTCAAAAAGTTTTTTCGATGTTTTTGAATTGCATCAATTATCTATAAGTGCCATTAAAATTAAGCTTTTATTTTTGTAAATATGCATTATCTTCGTTACTCGAACGAGGAAATATTACTGTCGTTAAGATAAGAAAACAAAAGAATATTCAAACATATATTTGTCACCCCTAATAATAGTTGAAGTAGATATTAAATAAGGTGTTAGTATAGCCTTTGACCCTACTTTACCCCCTGCATCTTTTGTGTCATTTTTCTCTATATAATTACT